TTGCTGTGATTGGTTGTTGAAACAGCCTTGTTCATATTTTCTCACGGCCCATATTAGTGACCTAGACATTAACGTAGATTAGTGTCAACCAATCGGCTAGCAGCCTGCTCTCACCACAATATGACTACTTCACACCTATAGAATCATAAATAAAACTATCGATGGTGAGCGTTACTGAAAATCTTACTGATTATAGAAAAACTAACAAGTTTTATGTTTTCTTTCTAATTTTACACAAGACGGCAGTCATGCAGAATCAATCAATGAAAATGGTGTAGTTTTCTCCATGGCTATCAAAACAATTTAGGCACATTCATCTCTATCATTCAATCATTCCCAGTTAGTTTTTATTTTGTAGTAGTGATAAAAAGGATAAGAGCATCATGGACATTTGTACCATGCTATGGTAACTCTCGACAATTTAAAGTTGCAGGAACACTGTAATTCATAAGATACTATCACTCTAGGTGGTGACGCTTTATAAACAGACCCTCGGAAGAAAAAAAACCATATACTGAAATCACTGTGTACAAGGGGTTTGTGAAAAAGAGAAGGAATAACAAATAAAATAATTACAGATGAAAAGTAGTGAAAATTCCACTTATCTGGGAAATAAAAAGGCGCTAAACATATTTTTGGAAATCGTTTAGCTGATAAATCCTGAAAAAGGAACCCGCTTTTTGCCCAAGTAATATGAAACATTATTATAACATACACAAATGAAATGTCTTATCGTTAGAGAGACAGACAGATAGGTGTTTTCAAAAGGAATCCCAACATCACTACGTAATATTCTGCTTAACGAAAACTTATAGTTTCGTATTAATATAAGACTACTTCACAGGTTGTGGGATGTTCCATGACAACGGAATAAAATTTGAGGTAAATAAAGAAATGTGATCTGATATGTGATGAAGAAATCATCTGAGTTGCTACGAACAATTCGAAACCATAACACCCAGAGTTCCACACCATAGGTTTCATGGTCACACCAACTACAACCAAGTGACCTTCACTTCTCTATATGGCTTTAACAAACATTGAAAGGCCTCAAGGAAGGGCACGTCACCTATTACTAGTAACATATTGCATTGAGTTCATTCCAAAAGTTATACTCAACATTTTTACCAATGAATACGAATTGATGTATATATATATGAGAAAATTGATGTGTTAAGTACCGTTAACAATATGTCTTATATGTCAAATAGCATTTGACCTACAACTGAATATCACTTCTACGCTGAGTAAAAATGTATTTTTCTTTATATCAGATGTTTATAACAAAACCAGCTGGAATTGTCTCATGGCGGCTAAAAGGTTGCATGGTAATACATAATAGAATTCGTGCAAAACTTATCTTGGTAATCCTATTTCAGCCTATTCATTACATTGGTGATTGACACTGACAAAAGCAATACACTGATTATCCCTGTATCAATCTGTTCACAATTCCCTTACATTCCAGAAGTAAATACGATGTTTACAATGGTCGTAGCTTTAGCTGAAAAACAATTCATGTTGATTTTATTTTCTTAGCTAGTCTATGACTAACATGTGTAATCAAGAAACTTCTAGAATTATTTCTGTAAATTCAATCGTCACTGGTTTGAGCAGTAATGTTTGTATCATAAATTAGTATCTGAGCAGCACACCTTTGAGGACTTACACTTTTCCTCAAATCTCAGGCAATAAATAATTTCTCCTTCAATCATATCTGCAAAATATGACTATAAGATGCTTCTGTCATCAATCTGTATTCCTTCATCTACTCCTCCTGGAAATTTATATACTTTTACAGATATATACTGTGACTCTTCAGGATCTAATTTAGACCGAGCTGAGTAAAATAATCTCTCAGAAGTCTTCGAACTGTTGTTCATTCATTACATTTCTTTGAATTTCAAGCTAGTTTCATAGGTTTAAGGACTGAATTCACAATCAGGATCAGAATCACACGTCCTGTAAGTCAACTTAGGCGACTGTTAAGTATCATCAACCCTCAGATGATATATATGGTCCATAGAGTGGTACATGCAAAATCCGTTTGGAGTAACTAAGTTCCGGTATGATATCAAGTATCTTCGAAAATAGTTGATTGACCTGACGATTTTCACAAGATTTACAGGTATTTTAAAAGGTCTGTTTTATATTGTTGCTCAATCTAACCAACTGTGCCCGCGCTGCTCAGGCCTCACTTTCATTTCATTCGTAACGGCTGAAGTAGTATATCTTGAAAAGCCTTGGGTTGACAGTCTACTATCGATGAACTGATTGGTTACCGAAGGTGAAATGAAAATCTGAGTTACGACAAGATTTGGTCTAACGGAATCCGTACTATTAGTACTCTGATGTCTGAGCTTTGAAACCGTCACTGCTAGACGAGTCATCATTTCACTGCAGTCACCACACGTTATGTCTAGTTTTCACATGAATGAATGATACATAACTGCCTGTTTATCATCACACTTGCTGATAAGTGGACAGCCATATATTATCGTGATGACTGTAATGAAATGATGAGCTGGTTAGCAGTTGAGTCTTGCAACTCCACTGGTTGAGCGCCACTGGTTCTATTTCTGCTGTGACTCAGAACTTATTTCATCTGCAATCATCACCCACTAAATCAACATATATGTATATATATCCTCATTTGTTTACCGAACGAACAGTTATCCGACTATTTGGTTAGTGTTATCAGAAGAAGGAGGTTATCTGGGAAATTCGATGTATTTGTACACTACACTTCTAAGTTTGATCACACGTTTTCATGTCAAGTCGGTTTATATAAAAAATAAAAAGTCAATTAAAAATTAATCAAGTGATAAGGGATTTAAGAATAAGAATGAATAACACAACATTTAGTGATATGATCAGATTAGAATTACAAGGGTAGTTTAAGAGTAATAAATAGTTTTGTACACACTTGGAGAGGGAGTTTAAGTTTACGAATAGCTATCACTTTTGCCTATTTTATTAAGCGTCCCTGACTGTTTTTACAGATAATCTTAAAAGCTGTTTTGAAATCAATCTTGTAGTTTATATCAATTAAGTGTTTGGCTATAGACGAAGTTGGTACTCTGCCAGCTGCGTTTATCGACGTTTCATAGTTCATTTGATTTTCCAACCATTTGGGTGCATGCTCTTCCACCTTCACATGCAAAGCGCGATTACTCTTCCTATTAACTTGTTACCACACACACACACACACACATGTGAACTGCAATATAGTATTGATGATCAGATGACCAGAGAGAATTAACGACGAGAAACTCTGGGAACGAACCTACCAAGAACCCGTTGCACAACAAATTCGACAAATAAATTCGAGATTCATCGGACATACGCTTAGGAGACCGTTGGGTGACATCGCTTGCCAAGTCATCGAGTGGAACCCGAATGCGAAATGACAAGATGAACGTCTGAGAGTGACATGGAAGTGATCGTGTGAGGAAAAAATGAGAGACTTTGTGCAATCAATGGGCTCAGGAGTTCAGAGAATAGAACAGATTGGAAATGCTCCACTCAGAACCCAAGGAAATAATAATAATGCGAGGTGACATAATCACTTGTGCAATGTTGAGAGGCTTGTGGTAGAACATGTTTTTGTCTTTTTCAATAATTATAAGCTTGACTGCATAGTAGGTTTTAAGGATGATCGAGTTTAGTCTCTGTCTCAAAACCCTATTTATTTCCTCATTGCATGGTACTTTCATAAGACCTACTTTTTAGGTATGGAATAGATTGCAGTTTCGAAATTTCGAAGAATATCCATTTTCAACAAGAGCATTCATCAATATTTTATTTTCGTTATCTATAATACCAGCCGTACAAATATGCTGAATTCTCTTAAATAAGCACTTTTGTAGTGAAATGGTCGGAAACTGTGAAAGTTCAAGTATTACACTGTCCAAGTAGATTTTCTATAAATTGGCCGTTTTATTCAGACATCTTTCCGACCCAAAAGTATGTCTAGAAATGCAAGTTGATTGAGACTTTTTTCACATTTGACATTCATATGATTTTGCACCGGTTTGATTCCATCCAATAGATGACCCACATCTTTCGAGATTATTACAAATTAAAATAATATTGTCAACATATCAACTTTAGCAGTCAAATCAACGGTAAGATTTCCAATGTAAGACATATAAACACCAGACAACGAATATTTTAATTGGCTTCCTATGGCAACACCATCCACATGTGGAAAGTGCTCACCTTCAAATGTGAAATGTAGAAAAAATCCCCATTCTTCGCTCAATCTTTCTGTTTTCTAAATGTGAAATGGACGTTGTCAGTACATAATAATAAATCTTTAAAATAAGTTAAAGGAATGTGGAATAAAAGACACCTAAAAGATAAGTAATGACAAAGAATATCAATGGTCGTAAACAACAGTACATTAGTAAACAAGGAATTAACATTTTCATATCTTTTATATTCATATTTACATGACACTCAATAACTTCGAAAGTATCTTTCAAAGTGAGCTTGCATAGTTTATTGTATACTAGACTTCAAGTGTCAACTAGCCGTTTTGCCAATTTATGGTTGGGAGAATGACACATTGAATTAATTGGAGATAACGGATTACCAAGTTTATAGATCTTGGGTATTCCATAAAGGTTTGAAAAGTCAGATCCCATGGATGGTTTCAAAGAATTAAACTTTTGTTTGTTAATAACATCCGTGTCATGAAGTTTTATTAAATGGTGTGTTACCTGTCCTTGTAATTTTCTGATATCATCAGCTATGAATTTACTTATATCGTCATAAATGGATAACGTTTTGTTTTATAACTGCATTTATCCATTACACTCACAGCTTTGTCAGGTTTCAGGACCTACTACGTAATTCATTTAAAGCTTTGAAATGCGTCAAGGTGAACATACTTCTTGTTTTCTACTTAAATCAAGGAAGCCATATACCACATCCCATTATTATTGTTATTATTATTATTATTTATTCTTGTTGCATTTTGTTTTTATTTTGTATAGTTTGAAAGATTTCCTACCAAAAGAATATGCAAAGATACGTAGTTTAGAGAAGAAAATCTTTCAACAACATGCAGAATTCTGTGGTTTAAGCGAAGTAGAGGCCAAAGTGAAATATTGTCATTTTTGTCGTTCGTTAAAAACCTATGGAATTACATTCTTTTTAGTGAAAGTAAGCTTGTTTATATCTTTACTTATTTTACAGTTTATATATATAGGGGTATTCATTCATTGACTAATCGTTTTGTCTTTTAAATGAAATGCTTGACATTTATTTCTCGTGTGTAAATTGCCAACACACCATGTAATGGGATTTATACATACAATGATATATTCACTACTTGAATATCTTTGCAAGTTAGATTTACAAAATTTTGTTCAAAAGTATGCGTGAAATACTTTCTTACGACTAATCGTTTCGCTACCAGGAACACCAACATATAGTCTATCTAAAGAACTTTTCGGGAAATTAAAACACCTCACAGAATCATGCGACCATTCTATCAATTCGTCAATCCAATTTTTAGACAAAATCAAAAACATTCAAGTAGATGACAATGAAATAATGGTATCCTTTGATGTCACAGCATTATGTGCTTCAATTAGTCCAAAACTAGCAACAGAAACTATGCAGCAATTACTCTATAGTGATGAAAACATAAAACGCAATGTTTAACTTGGATAGAACTCATAGAATTATGCCTACAACATACTTCCATTTCAATACTCAAATATATGAACAGATAAAAGGGACACCAATGGGATCACCCATATCAGGATCAATAGCTGAAGCCATCATGCAAAGATTAGAATTAATAGCTCTACCTATAATTAAACCGAAAATCTGGGTACGTTACGTTGGTGATACATTTGTAATCATTAAGAGAAATGATTTAGAACATACCTATAAATTAATAAACAACATATTTGAAGACGTCAAATTCACAAGAGAAGAAGAATTAGATAACAAAATCCCATTTCTACGTCCTAATCAGGAGAACCAAAACAGGAAATTTAGAAACACAAGTATGTAGAGAATCAACGCACACAGTTCAAATACTCAACTATACTATCAATAAGCCAATTACTCACAAAAGAAACTGTGTGCAGATATTGTTTAAAAGAATTCAAGCACACACTGTAGCACTCCAGAGTTGAAGAGAATGGAAGAAAAATACCTACTAAGGGTCTTCAGAGAGAATGGTTATCCACAAAATTTCATCAAAAAGTGTTTAAACTTGAATCACAACACAAACAAGGAACCATCATCAAAGAATACAAAAAAATTCATCCTACCATATACAAAAAACATCTCTGAAATAACAGCTAGAATAATAAAACCGCTTGAAATAGATATAGCACACAAGCTAGTCAAATCACTTAATTCGATATTATGCAAACCTAAAGATACATCCAACAGAAAAGGGAGGTAAAATTAATACCATTTACAAAATACATTGTATGAACTGCAACAGGCATTACATTGACCAAAGTGGGCGTCCCCTTCACATAAGAATCCAGGAACACAAATCAGCTGTGAGAAGACATGATATATATTCTTTTGTATCAATTTATGTAGTTAATTACGGACATCAATTCGATTGGAATAATGTCGAAATTTTAAACAGAGGGAACACTAAAAGTGCCAGAGAATTCTTAGAAGTCTGGTGCTCAAGCGAATCAGCAATTAACAAACATATTGATACAGACTAAATTTGCCAACTGACAGAAAGTAAATCACGTGACAAGAAAGTTCAAAATCCAAATCAATAAAAATGACCAATACAGATGTAAATCGACTACCAGTCACGAAGAGGGTTGTCATGAGACACAATTCTATCATTAATGGAGAATTTAAATCAGTTCATTTTATGTTCAAACTTGCACTGAAGATGTTGTCCAGAAGGTCGACGAAAGTTCCGCAACTAAACCAACCAGTTCAGAGAACGCAACTAATTCTAAACTTTCTTGTGTCATATGTGATCATTACGGTTTGACTGATTCAGCTCTCCCAACTTTCAGTCACCTTAGGAATTCATATCTCACCTTTTATTTTGTTTATATGAACTCTTTAGCTGTCGATGTTGATGTCGGTGATAAAATGTAGAGTATGGTAGGAATTTGATTCATTGATTGATCATGATCATTCTCTATCGGCTTACAGTCACACTTTCAACTGTTGACTTCATTTGAATAGGTTACGTATTTCATAATGCAATAGTTTACTGTCACTTCTAAGTACACGTATAATTAATTAGTGGGATTTTATTTTATTCAATAAAGATTATATTGCGAGCAACTGAAATTGTAAGTGCGTCGGTGGCATAGCGGTTAGGATGCTCGCCGACCATGCACATCATCCGGGGTTCGATCCCCGGCCACCGACACACTTCTTTACCTCGCTAAGCCAGGAATAATGCTGGTAAAGAGGAAAGGTTGAGCATGAGGCTAGCAACCCCATCCTGTAAAATAAATACTGCTACAGAAACTTCAAGCCACCAGCTTGAAGCCCTATTTTATACTGGGGAACGTGACGAAAAAAACTGAAATTATGTGGCTTATGCTTTATTCACTGTGTCAGTTAATAATTACTGAAACAACCCATATAAGGCCATAAAATATTATCTTTTTGTTTCTCTCCTATATCGTAATTGTCCTTCGTTTTTTAAAAGATAGAAATAATATCAGACTTAAATTAATTGTAAGCTGGGCAGAGCAGTTTCTGTCACTTTGGTACATAAACATACTTACTGGCGTCTAACACTTGCCATATTTCTTCACCTGGTATTATATGGTAAGTGATATTGAGGTTATGTGTAGAATATTTGGTAAGGAGCATAAGTTATTTGATGTGGTTTTGAAGGTATATCGACTGAAATGCCTAGGATATATGTCACGCATGCCCAGCCACCGCCTTCATCGCTGTGCAATGTTAACTGACATAGAACTAGGTTGAAAAAGAGTTGGAGATGGTCAAACCGAAACACGTCACCAGTTTATGAAGTCTCTGATCTACATAAGGAGGTATAGACTGCCTGGTTGGGGACTTCAGGATGCTAGGAACCATTTTTTGGAAGCTATTGGTGATATGCCTCTAAGTTGTTCTTATTAATGGAGATGCATTCACCATGCCACTATTCTTTCTCCCCTACATTTCTGCCTATTATAGTTCATTTGAATTTGATGAAAACAGAACAATTTTATTTTGATCACTTCTTGTTAATCTGTCATTCACTCATTTATTTACTTTTACTTTTTATTTTACAGGAAAGAATTAAAGGGAAAAATAAACTTATACCGCGTTTATTAGGCATAACAAAGGATAGTGTAGTTCGACTAGATGAGAAAACTAAAGAAGTATTGAAAATTTGGCCGCTTACATCTATTTGTAAATGGGCAGCATCACCACATGCCTTCACTATGGTAATATTGAATAGTAATAATAATAATAGTAATGTTAATCCCCTTTTTTCATTCAATTCACTATTCTCATTTTGATTTTATTTAGATTCATCTTTTTTCATTCAGTTTTTAAGATGAATGGATTTGAATGGAGACTGCCTAACTGCTCTTAAGAATAGTATCATCTTACATTTGTTAAGTAGGAGTTGGGATGTATTTTGTTTAAAACATTCACAGAATCTTGTATTTTTCTTCATTTTCACTTAATCAAACAATATCATCAGTGTAATTTATTTTCTCAAACAGTATCAAGTATAGAAATTTATCTATGCAAATTGGAGACATTTATTTTCCCAACACAAATTAAAAACAAGCAACGAAAGTTAATAAAGTAGGATTTAATGAATTCATCAAATTTAGGTAGAACTCTTCAGCTGGATATAAAATCAAGATAAAATGCATTACGTTTCAACGAAATCACTTATATAAACAATTAGTTATCAGTGAGTGAAAGAACCTGAATATATATCAAGAATTGCGAACTAAGTAATATTGATAATATTAATGGTAATGATAAAAAACAGTTTTAAATCAATCAGAAATAATAATAATACCAGTTAACAACTAAAACATATTACTATGGTAGATTTAGAGTGACCACCATTTCCTTTTGTGCACCAGAGACCTGCTTTATAAACTCTAATTGCACAAGCCTCCGCAATTGCAAGCATCTTTCCTGACTGTTTGTCTGCTGACAACAGTGAATGACTTGACAGTGCGTCGATATCATGTCCGTAGTCCACAAAATGCTTTGTTATTGGACTCTTAAGCACTCTGGCTTTATCTGTTTTTAACCACTTTGGCGAATTCTCCATCATGCGAGTAGACAATCACCCTTCTGTACGATTTTGTATTTGCTTTCACAAACACACTCAAGTTGATGTACGCGGTTTCGACAATAATTATCATTATTGATTATTCTTGTCGATACTAATTAGCATTACTATTATTATTAATATTACTTAGTTCGCAGTTCTTGATGTATTCAAGTTGTTTCACTCACAGATGCTCGCTAGGGACTTACTACAGGACAGAGTTCCCTGGAGTTCTAGTGAGAAGTCGTGACCAGTGAGGTTCATCCAGTCAAGTGTGAGGTTGGATGTCCCACCGATAACATTAGTTGGTGGTCGCGCTAAATCATAAATTGGTAGAAGTTAGAATTCACGGGCCATTGAATTGTGTCCCAGTGGCTGGACGGTATACGAGCTTGCCTTGTAACCGGAAGGTCCTGGGTTCGAACCCTTATATCCTTGTATGCAGAGTATCCAGATGAAGAGTTCTACCTAAACTTGATGAATTCATTAAATCCTACTTTATTAACTTTTGTTGCTTGTTTTAAGTGTATACATATGGGAGAAGTTGGGATAAAATAGAATTATATTCATTAATATTTTGAGGAAGAATTATTATTATTATTATTGCTCCCTTGGGTTCCTAGTGGAACATAGGGCTTCAACTGCACGTCTCCATTTTCTTCTGTCTTCTGCAATACTTTTCGCCTGCATCCATGTTAATCCATACTCTTTCAACTCCTCCGCACACGATCTCCTCCATGTCACCTTTGAACGTCCTATTCGCCGCTTCCCTTTCGGGTTCCACTCGAGGAATGGCCTGACGCGCACGCGATGTCACCCAGAGGTCTCCTCAGCGAGTGTCCGATCCATCTCCACTTTCTCCTGCATATTTGTTGGGCGATTGGTTCTTGTTTTGTTTGTTTGTTCCCATAGTTTCTTGTTGGTGATTCTTTCCAGCCATCTGATCTTCAGTATAGAGCAAAGACAGTTACTGCTTAATAAAGGTCTGCAACAGGCTGTTGGAAATATTCTTTGTGACCCCCCGAGTTTCTGTTGGATCCGTATAGAAGAACTGACTGACTTGACGCTGTTTGCATTGAAAATCCGAATTTTGTTGTTGATGCTGAGTGACTAAGATTTCCAGATTGGTTTCAGGTTGATGAATGTGTTTCTCGCCTTCCCGATTCTCGCTCGATTTAACATCCTCGTCCGCTCCTCCTGTAGTTGAGACAATGCTTCCTAGATAAGTGGATGTAGTAACCTCTTTCAAATCCCTCCTGTTGATGGTGATTGGTGATTGGTGCTGGATGTTGTTGCTGTTGTCATTGTTGGTTGGTTATTTTCGTAACCTCCGTCTTGTCTATGTTTACCTGGAGTCCTGTCTTTGCTGCTTCTTCGACCAGTTTGTCGGTTTTCGCTTGTAAGTCTTCGATTGTGTGTGACATCAAACATAAATCATCCGCGAATTAGGAATGCTCAAATCAAAGCCTGTCATCAGTCCATGAGATTCATATACGTGTAGAAAAAAATAAAATAACAAACATATTTGTTTAATCATAAGTGATAGCCGTTTATACAAGAGTAATTGGTCATAGTAAAGACAATAATGAATAAATTTGATAGGTAGGTTGAATGGCATGCTGTAACTACGCCTATTTGTGTTAGAGTAGAGAAAATTTATTAGCAAATCCTTGTCACATTATTAACTATACCAGTTATTCATATTTGAGGAATAGATTAATCCACTACTAATCCAAGCATTCTATATCATTTTTAAAATTCATCATTTCATAATTTTATTTCTTCTCATTGACTCTTGTTACTAATACTTCGTATGAGAAAATGTAAAGTCCCTTAACAGAATTGATATTCCTTCTAGTTTGATTACACTGACCACTTAATCAACTTAAAGGTTCCTTTTAAACCAATCAGTAAAGTAAACGAGAGAAAAGTGCATTTAAATACTTTAAATATTGTTTTATTATTATTATTGTGGATCTGTCTTTTTCTATAGTGCATAAAGTATATTCATTATGGGTGTAAGGATTTCAGTCATTCCGACAAAAATATATATAGTGAAGTCAGTAAGTATGAGATGTTAGATGTGACTGTTTCTGGCTGATAATCATTCAACATATCATACAACATATGCATTTACTGTCTGTGTGTCGTCTTTCAAATTCTCAAAATACTCTTTTCTAATAATCCTTTAATCTTGTACATCTTTATCTATTGCAATTTCACTACATTTCTGCTTTTCTACCTTTATAGGTAATTTTCTGAAGTAGGGTAAATTATTGAACTGTGATACAGATTTGTTCCAAGTTCTACGTTAGTATTTTAGTCATTCAATCAGTGTTAGGTGTGAAGTACGTACTACTGTGTAAAAGATCATTTCATTGAGAAAAGTTGTAAGTCTCAATTAACTCTAATGTTTGGAAGTCTTAGCGCTAACTACTGAATTAAGTATAGAACTGAAAAAGATCACAATTTGATTATTTGATTTGATATGAAGTGATTCTATGAAGTGTGCTGTTTTTTAAGATTTCTCATTATCATTTATGACAATGGGTCGAAATCAGTAGTTAGAAGCCTTTTTAAATGATGTGGTTATTAAATAGAAATAAAAAAAATTAGTATTGTTCATTTATGTATATTTATCTGTAGTTTGTATGAAAAGTTGATTTCATTATTCGGCTTTTACATGGGACTCATTGATTATATGAGTCAAGTAAGTGCCTAAGCCAATAAAGCACACTATGTTTACTATAGTATTGTGGCTTCCGATCATTTATACTGATGCATATTTTTAAATCTATATTATTTTCTAATTTGATTATCTAATCTCATGGTTATCATTAGGATTCTGTTCTCTCTATATGCTTTTTTGAATCATCAAAACTTTGTCTGATGCATGACTTTGTAGAACTGTAATGATTTAGGTATTTAATTTTCAGTCATAGCCATTGCACCTGTTTCCCAGCTATTTTTAAACTATCAGGTAGTATCATCAGCCCTTATAAGATAGTGACATAGAGCAGACAAAAGTAAAAACTTGTGGGCGTTGTAGGAGTCACTTGATGAAAATGACGGCATAGAATTGAGTGAAGTGAAGATGTGCCGCTGTAGCCGTAGATTTCTCTCGGAAGGTAGTGCGCGAATAATAATAATAATAATTCTAATTAGTCCTTACATTAGAGGTGTAATACATTGCTTACTGTCTGACTATTCATGTGGTTAATGAAGTCCTTTCATATTTCTGAAAGGTTATGTTTTTCTTTCACTTTGAGTTAGTAAGTTTATGTTATGATGAACGATAAGGTGACCTATTCAATTCGCAGATGGTTAGTCCTTCGTTATCCACTAAGCTTTCTGATTATATGTATATATCTCCTATATTATTTCCAATGGGAATATAATTGACAATCTTGACGTCTTGTCATTTGTATCTGTCAGTTATAATTTCTTTACAGGATTTCTCCTACTTTACTGGTATTTTTTCCGCTAAATATTGCTTAACAGTGTAGTACCAGTCATATGACTCGTATGTGTAGTAAATACACTATAACTATTTATCGAAATGTGCTAGTGTATAACAACTACAGATATCTTAATATTTTTTCCTCTTATGTCTATTCAAGTACTTTTCATTTATCATTCATTTATCCCTTTTAAAAAACAGGACTTTGGTGAGTACTCTCCAGATGAATACTACACAGCACAAACATCAGAAGGTGAACAAATCTCTCAACTAATTGCTGGTTATATTGATATAATATTGAAAAAACAGAAAGCTACCGATCATCCAGGTTTACAAGGTGATGAAGAATCTGCTATGTATGAAGAAAATGTTCGAGCTGAAAGGTGGTTATGCATTTCACTTCTTTAGACCTGTTTACCTAATACTCTTGGTTTCGTTAATAACATATCAGACGACGTTTTGTTTCTTTTAGATTCTTTAAATTTTTATTACATAAACAGGTTATAAGTGATTTACCTTGCTTCAAGATAGATTTCATCACGAGTTAATATCAACAACTTTGGGCAGTTGTTTCTTTTTAGTAGTTTAGGATTCTTTAGCATTGCCAACTCACAACGCTATATGGTCACAACAGACTGAGGTCTATTATTAAGGCATTGTATTAAGTAATTGTTTAAAATTCGACTGTCCATGATTAAAAATTTCTGTCAATCAGTTATATATTACCATCTCTAGCAAAACACAACACTTTAGTGATTATCTGTTCTCACACTCAGTTCGATGGTGAACTTTACTGGCTGCAGCTTTGATATATGAAAACTCATGTGCTCCTGCTGAATTTATCTTCACTGGTGTTTCAAACTACTTTCTGTCCAGTACAATAAGCATTTGAAGACATTATGTCATTAAGCTAAATAATCTGACATATATATTTATGATTATTATTGTTCCCTTGGGTTCCTAGTGGGACATAGGGCTTCAACTGCACGTCTCCACTTGCTTCTGTCTTCTACTGTACTTTTCACCTGCATTCATGTTAATCCATACTCTTTCAACTCCTCCGCACACGATCTCCTCCATGTCACCTTTGAACGTCCTATTCGCCGCTTCCCTTTCGGGTTCCACTCGAGGAATGGCCTGACGCGCGCGCGATGTCACCCAGAGGTCTCCTCAGCTAGTGTCCGATCCATCTCCACTTTTTCCTGCATATTTGTTGGGCGATTGGTTCTTGTTTTGTTTGTTTGTTCCCATAGTTTCTTGTTGGTGATTCTTTCCAGCCATCTGATCTTCAGTATAGAGCAAAGACAGTTACTGCTTAATAAAGGTCTGCAACAGGCTGTTGGAAATATTCTTTGTGACCCCCCGAGTTTCTGTTGGATCCGTATAGAAGAACTGACTGACTTGACGCTGTTTGCATTGAAAATCCGAATTTTGTTGTTGATGCTGAGTGACTAAGATTTCCAGATTGGTTTCAGGTTGATGAATGTGTTTCTCGCCTTCCCGATTCTCGCTCGATTTAACATCCTCGTCCGCTCCTCCTGTAGTTGAGACAATGCTTCCTAGATAAGTGGATGTAGTAACCTCTTTCAAATCCCTCCTGTTGATGGTGATTGGTGATTGGTGCTGGATGTTGTTGCTGTTGTCATTGTTGGTTGGTTATTTTCATAACCATATATTTATGACACCATGGCATATCACAACACAGTCTCATGACTTGTGTTGCACACTTATATCTTTGTGTGCCTTTTTTTAGAAGAAGCGGAAATTGAAGTTGGGGTATGCTACATCGAAAACAAAGATTCATGTTTTATCTTGTCCCATTGAATTATGAGTAATTTATATTTTGCTGGTATTTAACTACTTATATATTAACAAGTAGTCAAAGAAAGTTTTGTATAATAATCCGGTTATTTGGAAATTATTTTGAGTGCACCTTTGGTCATAAATCCAGGCTTCTTTGAACAATATTCTGTTTTTGCCTTGGATATATAGTAGCGGCCATGTAATTAGTTTCTGTGAATAAACAGGATAGTTTCTAGTTATCTATGTAAGGTTTACTCTGTCGGTTGTTATGTTGATTCCTTTCCTTGACGCAAGTAATGTTAGGAAATTAGTCAATGACATATCTCGTATACTCCGATCTCCTATTATCATGCATGGAATATAAAATTGACATATACAAGTTTTAAGCCGCCATGGATTAATAGTGGTAGTGATTGAAGTCTGTCAGTAAAGTTTGGAAGGCGGTCACAAATCTAGGTAATTCACCACCGTAATGCTGTTTGGATTGATATTAGATGGCGGGGGTCAGCAATCAGCAGGAACCCTGGACCTGAGATTCTTGCTTGTTGGCACTCGTCCACTGGACGTATCTACAACCTTGAAAGAATTCGTTCCCCCTGAGAGTTTCTAACCCGTTTCACCCAGTGCTTCAGTCAAAAACTTTTCTACTGATTTATTTGGATTCTCAACTTCACCTCCTATTAGACTGTCGGTCTCCAGAAAGTAAACAATATCATGTGTCTAGTCCCTAGTATTTTTGCTGCTGAGCGTATTCATCTTGCTGTCAAAACGTTGTACAGTTACAAGACTATCTTTTGAACACCTTTGTTCTTTTATATTTCCAATTAGAGTATAATCTTTTTCGTCCTAATGCCATAGTTCTAATGTGTATTTATGAAATTATGTAGTGTCAGTATTGATGCAATGAGAATTTAATATTAAATTGAACATTTCTTCATGATCCTTAATTAATGAATTGTAATTGCGTCGGTGGCACATTGGTTAGGACTCTCGCCTACCATTCACATGGTCCTAGGTTCGATCCCCTGCCCACGCACACCTGATATCTATGGTCGGCCTGCAAAATTTGGGCTACCGATATCACATGCTGAAAATTCCATACCTGTACCGAAAATACAGTGTGGAATCAAGCTGTAATCAACAAAAAAAATTCAGTTGCATTATGTATAACTGACTACTCAAAGTGGTCGTTAAATTCATCATATCTACTTTTTGGTTTTATCACTAGAATTGTGTGGAATTATTCACATATAATCATTGTTTGTAATTTTCTAACTCATTTACAATTATGATGTATGATAAACTATAATTGTTTCTGTGCTTTCTTTTTCAACGTCATTTGTTGTGTATAAATATGTTCGATAGACCAATTTAACATCTGAAATGTTGGTCTTATTGCAGTTCTGAGATGTCTTATTTTAAATTTGTAGTTTAATTTTTTGATAAATGAGTTCTTAATTTCATATGTCATTTTGAAACAAGACACTATAGGCTTCAGTTATATTATCATAGTTTAACGTTTATCATTTATGTTGTTTTAATGCCATTGAACTGATCTCATGTAAAGGTTAGGTGATATTAACTGATGACGTTTCGAGCACAAACTATTGCTCATAATCATATCAAGTTATGATATGATTATGAGCAATAGTTTGTGCTCGAAACGTCATCAGTTCATATAACTGTAAACACTGTGCGATTTATCAAAATAAAATCTTATCTATAATGGAATTATACTCTACCACAGTGCCCAAGTTTTATACTTATATCAATTAGGTGATATTAACAGAAATCACCATAGCCACCGAATGGATGTTATTATCAATGTAGAACTTTGCGTAAAATTAGTCGTTCCACACTTCGAAGAACCACACATAAAAGCTAAAGAAAAATGTGATGAAAGTACAATGAATTCTCCTTACATTTTGGGTGACCAGTGTTGAACATATGTTCAATTATAGCACTTCTTAATGATCTACTGTGACCTTTTAGCATCCAAACTGGATAATGTTCTTTTACTCTTTTGGATAAAACACGCATCGAACGACCTATATATCTCGCTACACATGACCAAGTAAATTGGTAGATGCACATAAAGGTGGTCAAATGAGATAGCTTGTCTTTAGAGCTGTTGGAGAACAATGGGCGGCATAAGAATACCGATCGTAAATTAGCAGCAGAGTATGTTTTTTTAGGGCGTTAAATATTCTCCTCTATGTGATATCAACCGGAACGTCACCTTTGAATACCACATTTATGAATAGCATCTTCTGCATAGAGATGGGTTGTTCTTTGTCCATTTTTGGCTTTATGTGTTTATTTGTAAAGCGTGTTGGATAGCCATTCTCAGGTAGTGTCTTCCTCAAAAGAGTAATCACTTCTACTGATTCAGGGCCGCAGATTCTAGGGATTCTGGTCGCAAGAGATATTATCAGGTTCCATTTGGTTACGAAAAGGTAACAGTGGATCAATAACGAGTGCTATAATTGAAACTACAATGGACGAAAATCTGCAGGAGAAAAGAAAACAATTAGATGAAGACTAATGGAGCATCTCGAAATTAGTATAATAGGAAGGAGTGAATACATCTGATTGACGGTGAACGACTTTCAATCATTTTGTCAACAGTCTCCAACCTCTGATTACAAATTACCATCCCAAGGACCCCAGTGAGACTGTCCACACTTCCTACATGACTCAAAACAAAAGTCAACCATTTCATAGATCGATGTTATGTGTTGGTCTAATCCTGTATCAGCTAACATTTCTCATAAAATACGATTTGGGACTCAGCATGCGTAACACATATCCTAGCTTTCTTATTCAATAATTCACCTGAATAATAATATTAATAAATGAAGTTATTCAACAGTTTAAAATAAGCTACCACTCTTAATCTCATAAAATTAAGTATGTACATGTATTCTGTATTTCTTATTGTCAGAGCTACAATCGTTCATCATCAGCGTGTTCCCGTGAGATCTCATGGTAAAGATACACTTGTCAATGGTGTAGTTGAAAAACCATACAATCAGCAACAATACCTTAAAAATGAAATGTCTAATCATCAAATACATGATGCATGGTCTACTCATCAGCAGAATAATCTTGGTGTAGATGAAAATTCAACAATGGTCGATGGTCAAAGTATGCTTACAACATCTACAACAACACGTCAAATGTCACCAGATAACTTCATGACTGGTGGGGTAAGCAAATCTTTCGCGTATATATTGTATATTTGTGTCTATGCCGACATATATATATATATATATATATATATATGTACTGACAATTCATAGTTAATTTTTAGGTGATTTCGATAGAATGAACTGTCTTTCATCCCTTCGGACTTTAATTCTGTGTAGTCTTCTATATCTGATGAATTACTGATAAAAACTTATTTTCGATTTGTTCTAATTTTAGAATTAAATTTCTGATTCTGTTTTCTGTTAGAAGTTTGAAATGATAAAGAATATCTAAAGTTTAGAAAATCGACTTTCCAACTTATATATTTCCATTAGAGCATCAATTTAGAAGTGGAATAGGTTGAGAATTAACTTGATTTTATTGTGCACGTGTATAAAAAATAGTTCTCTTCCCTTCGTAACTTTCAAATTACTTAGTCCGATGTCAAGCTTGATGACTAACTGACTTCAGTTAGGAAGCCATTGAAAACCAGGGAAGACTGGTTATCTGTTTTGTCCTTGTTTGAGACTCATCAGTACGGCGTACCCATCACTCCACCATGGATGGAACCCAGTAGTAATCTGGTGAGCTCGTTATCCATTCAACGAATGGGCCGAAATCTGAAGATTACTTAGTCTTTGCACTCTTTATCCCACCTTTTTCTTGCTATCAGTTGATAAGTTGGATTGCCATGCTTAATTTCAGTCTGGGATTAAAATCCTTTTGGAATTATGCATATTTTTGTGGTTAAAGTAATACTTGAAAACCAATGAAATGCTCACTGGCGACTAACCCTTTTCAGGTAGGTAGTTACCTGGGGTTCCAGTGGGTGCAGCAGGTCGGGTGTGAGGACAAATACTCGCCGAAAACATTGGCTAGCGGTTGCGCTATATCGTGAATTGGCAGAAGTTAGAATCCACGGGCCATTGGATCGGGTCCCAGTGGCTTAATGGTCTACTAGCTCGCTTTGTGACCTGAAGGCCCTGGGTTCAAACCTCCTCCTGAGGTGTGGTGCGTGCTGCTGAAGAGTCCCAGACTAGGACGAAACAGCTGTGCGGTACCCCCTGCAGATTTTCTAATGGTTCTCTAACCGATTTCAGCTCATGATGAAATCCTGTAACCAGTTAAAGTAGAAGTAAATTTACAATTCTTTATTTCTTTTTCTACTCAGACTCATATTTTCCACTATCAAGAAATGTCACCAGCCCAAAGATCTTTACTAGTTACAATTAATGAAGATTTGGAGACTTTACAAGCAGCTAAGGAACAATTAGATATTGGTCCACCAACAGAACGTCCTTTACTTGGTGTTGGAACAGATGAAGTGAGTTGTTGTTTTTAAATGAGAATGCTGTTAACATTATACTAAATGAATTGTAGTTTACTAAAAATACATGTTATAAGGATTTACTATGTATCTGTTTTTTCTCTTATTTGTTTACTTGTACATATACTCACATTAATCTGTACATGATTATTCATCTACACCAGGGATTTTACTGACACATGCTCGTTTAGACTTGGATATTTTTGATGCAAAGTAGTGAATTTCTTCTACTTTGTTGAATGCCTTCGTCATGTATTTATGCTTCCAATATGTGCGGATTTTTTCCTTATTGTTAAATCCCATTCTACACAAAGTTGTAAAATATGGTGACATAAGGAAAAAACTTGTGCACTGTGGTAGAGTATAATTCCATTATGGATAAAAATTATTTTGATAAAGTCTCACATTGTTATACAGTAATATTTACTGAGGACATTTCGAGCACAATTTATGACCGCTCATACAACTTTCCAACTTCGTTTATATGGTTCTACTATTTCTCATCGCTTGATTTGATTGGTAGTAGTAATTTCCGTATATCCGGTATGAGCGATGTGTCATTGCTATTACATGTGTTGGGTGTTGACTCGATGAACAAGGATTCAGTAATCAACCTCTCTCACCACTTAAATTTAATACTTTTTAGAGGGTTAAAATTCTAGAAAGCAATATAGGTAGGTAGGTGGTGAGAGAGGTCTTTGTTCATACAATCTACACCCAATGAATACCACAATTATGGAAAATATTACTACCAAGTTGTATGAGTACTTTGATATAGTTATGAGCAGTAATAAATTGTGCTCGTAACGTCATCAGTAAATATTCCTGTATAACACAGTGTGATTTTGTCAACATAAAAATTTATCCATAATGTAAAATCAAATGGAAGATGCAACTTTTCCTTGTAACTTTATCACCCCGACTAGATTCGATGTCAGTCAATTCTAATAGGTTAGGTTAAATCGACTATGATAAAGATATTAATTGCTTTTCCTATTATATATATATATAGCATTTTAACTCAGATATTGTAAGCAAAGTAATAGGAGCAGTTTATCTGAATTTGAAGCTTATCTTAAACGGTAAATCTATTATAATTTCAACGTTGATTGATTATGATTGTGCAAAGATGAAAAAGGTGAATTAGATAGATGAACGTCACAGTGTTAGACCATATAAAGCAAACATTGTTAGAACTAATTCAATGCTTATTTTATGCCCTGAACAAAAAGAGTTGGAGTAATCAAATAAAGGAATTTCTTTGTAATTTCAATCAATGGGAACTCAGCATACTTATTATATCATTTTGTTTTTTTGGGTATTACTTCGAAAAGTTCAACGCAAGTTTATATTTGAAGTGAATAAACTAAATAAAAGAACACTTATAACTTATGTTTCATTTATCTCTTATTTATTGTTGGATACTTTAAAATTTTCAACACGATTATATAATTCATCTTCCCAGTTTGAATTTATCTATATTTTACATAGTTGAGATAGTAGTTGGTCTAGGTTGACAAACACCAAACTTTGATACACACACACATGTGTTTAATCTAACCGATTCACATACTTGACTAGAATTGTTGCTCACAATTATAAATCTTACTTGCATGACTAGTTACTCAGTTTTGTATAATTAAATGTAGGATAGATCTATTCACTGCCTAACAGTAATTAACTGATTACGTGGGCTCTTCATTAAATGAAAGTGTGTACTTTCTTTCTCTACTAAATAACAGTTAACATTTCCTATATGCATCCTCTGGAATTAATTTATCCATGTTTCTAATTTACCGTTGATTTATCTGAACCGAACTGACCAGCGTCATTTGATTGTGTGTTCTTTAAACATAAATATGAATGAATAATTTCAAGTCATACTGGTTGCACAATAGGTGTCTTAGTGGGTAACGATTTAGCGCTTGAAGCGAAAGATAGTTCGAGTCCCAATGGGGGCTCCATCACTCCCTGAGGGGGCAGGTGTACTCAGTCAACGAGTCCCAAATAAGATGAAACGCACATCTAGGATTCTACTGTTAGCCACTATCGAATAAATATCCTCTAGCATATTTGTGCATTAAAATTCTAATCTATTCATGAATTCATTTCAGGCATCTAAGCGTTGGTTAAGTGAATCAATGGGTGCTAGTCAAGCGAAAGTGACAGATGAAGTCGGTGCTATGAATGCTGCTGTTGCTCAAGCATTACGTTCAGCTAACAGAGCTGAGTCTGTTGATGCTGGTGTTATACAACATGGTCAATCATTGGATCAAATACACGACCCTGGTGATGACTTAATGATGATGCAACAATCATTCCGTGTTGTTACAATTCACTTCCCTGCTTTTGTCGATGATTTAAAACGTGTTGCTGTGCTTAGACGTGAATCAGGAGCTTTAAAAGCTGATCAAACTGGTCAACCAATCATTGCTGAACGAACTGAAGAGTCTACCCAGAATTTATTGTCAGCTGCTCGTCATGTTGCTGATGCATTCACTGATCTTTTACAATCAGCTCGACCATTAGCTATGGGACAGGTAATCGATTCATTTTCGTTTATTTTCATATATGACAAGTGAGTTTGAATAAAATTTTGGTTAGAACAGAATTCGAACCAGTAACTTTTGGATAGTATTTGATGACGTTCCATGACTCATTCCATCAATTCGTCCACTTACCTTACATTTTATTTTATGAATAATGTACAGAATAAAATTTTTAAGTAAATGTAAATATTTTTTTGTTAAATTTCTACAGGATCCTCCCTTCAAATATAATATTTTTCGATAAAGGGTGTTTAGGACTAGTTTACTTTCTTATTGGATGAAACCGAGTAGAACACTTTTTCTCAAGTGTACCATTCCTTTTTCTAACCCAAGACCATAATATTAAGCGGATTGAAATAGAAATTTAGTCACAAACAATAACAGTCAATCTCTTTATTTACATTAGAATTAGAAAAATGAATATTTTTTATGTGGTTATAAATATCAAAATTCGAACGTAACAAAAAGCATATGGAAGTATTGAATGTCCTTAGGGGTCTATATTAGGTGGAAAATGTTTTTTTAATGATATCAGATATCACTCTAATTCTTGTGGAAGGAAACTATTCGCTTTACACATTATTATTAAATAAGAATTACTGAAATTGTGCAGACTAATGACACAGTGAATGTGGCAATGCATTCTAGTAGATATTTGAACCTTACATCATTCTTTTTTTAATTTTTAATTACATCTTGATTCCACACTGTATTTTGGTACAGGTATGGAATTTTCAGCATGTGATATCGGTAGCCCAAATTTTGCAGGCCGACCATAGATATCAGGTGTCCGTCGGTAGGGGGTCGAACATCGGACCATGTGAATGGTAGGCGAGAGTCCTAACCAATGTGCCACCGACGCACCCTCTTTTCAGGATAGAGACAGGCTTGGTTAAGTGTCTAAACGAACTGAGAGTGAGAATTCTGAGCAGTACATCCGAGACCTGAAATAAATAAATGAAAATTGTGCTCAGAACGTCGTCATCAATAAGTAAATATAGCGAATCAACATAAGCTAGAATTCATGGATCCCTTCCCAGTGGGTGAATGATCAACGAACTCGCCTCGTAAACCAAAGGTCTCGGTCTCGATCTCAGGTGGAGTCATGGGTGCATACTGCTGGAGACCTCCAAACTAGGACGAGACAGTTGTATGGTGCTCGCTAGTTCTCGATGATCCTCTGACTGAAATCAGTCCACGATCAAACTTGAAGTATTAATATATCAAATGAAGCTATTCTATCACTGATACTTTTTGAAAATTTGCTTTGTCTTTATATGCTATTGTTCTTATCAGATAAATAATTTACATTTGTTTATCATCTTGTGTATAGACACATGAAGAGATTTATCCAACTTCAGAGGATGGTACTTATCAAGCTAATCGTGTCACTACAACTACTCAACAAGGCCCTGTATCAAGTAGCTCACGTAAAGCCATTATTGAAGCAGCTAGTCGTGTTGGTGCAGCTAGTAATGATTTATTACGTCATGTTATGCATGGTGGAGATGATGACGAATTGTTCAATTCAAATTATTTAATTTTAACTGATGAAGAAAGAATTTATCAGGTTTGAGTTTTATTTGCCTGTTTATTTCATTTCTATGCTGTGTTACTATTATTATTGTTGTGGTTATCCTAGTAAGTTTGTAAGTTTTTAATTGTTTACACCTTTCTGAGCCTACCCATTAATATCAGGCAGTCAGTCATTCAGTTAGTCGAAACTGTCGTCGCCAGTAAATGTTACCTCATCGGTGTTCAATAAACCTACGTTTTGAAAACTGTCGACTGAAAATGTGCTTTTTGTAGGTGTCTGATCAAAGAAGTTGATAAGTACGTATCGTGTTATGTGTGATTTGGATACACTTGTAAGCGCTGTCATTCATACAGAGAATTGAATTCACCAAAAATGACATGCTGCAATTTGTTTGTGTTTATCTGTGCGTGGGTTAGCTAGTCGTTTCTTTAGTTGGGATAATGCACCCTACACAACATGCTTCAATTATCATTATTATTATCACCATCAGGGTTGTTTTGCTGTTAATCACAGTTGCAAATTATTATACTACTATTATTATATTGTTCTTATGTTCCACTGGGAAACCAAAGACTTAAATAGAGCACATCTTCACTTAATCCTATTTTCTGCTGTCCTCTTTAGCTGGCTTCACAATAGCCAATTGTCTCTTATCTCCTCCTCACACGATCACCTCCATGTCACCCTCAGACATGGATTCCACCCATTCGGGTTCTACCCGAGCTATGATCTGGTGTCATTCGACGATCTCCCCAGCGTATGTCTGATCCATATCCATTTTCTCTGGAATATTTGTTGAACAATCAGTTCTTGATTGGTTTATTCTCAGAGTTCCTTGTTGCTAATTGGTTTCTGGTCATCTGATCTTCAAAATGCAACCAGCGAAGGCAGTTATTGATAAACGTTTGCAGTGGCCTGTTGGAAGTGTTTTTCGTGATGCGCTGGTCAAGTTTCGGACCTAAGAAAAGAAGTGACTTCACATTGGTGTTGAAAATCTGCATTTTGTACTTTGTACGGAGTGTAAAAGATTTTCAAACTATTTTCGGATTTACGAAGGTCTGCCTTTTCTTCATGATTCTGGTTGTCTGGCTGTAGTTGAAACGATGTTTCGTAGATAATTGAAGAAATTGACCACTTTTAGATTTCTTGTAAATTTTAAATAGGATTCATCTAGTGCTTATTAACCAGCTGTAAAAATAACTCGTAATAACAATTAATTTCATGCAATAAAGTTCACAGTGGGAGAGAGACAGTAAGAGTATTTCCAGTGAACATAATTTCTTTTCAGAAGAAGTTTATTATGTTGTTTTTTTGGTGACTAGCAGTGGAATGTATGACCCTCGTTTCATTCTCTTCTGTACTTGTCAACTGGATATACTTACTCCCTTAGTGGGTGATGCTATTTCCAGTGTGACCCATCGCTACTTGACTATTGAGGCACGAGAATTACTTTGAGTTTGTGGGCATTAGTAATATTGAGGTATCCCATGATAAAGTCTATTTACTAAGATGAAGCTGATAAATGTAGTCCAACGAAATCAACTAGAAACCATAACTGAATAAAAAATATAAACATCGTTCTATACTTTTCTTTTCTTCATATTTAATATTTATTATGCTCTTAGTACTTTTTGTTGTTCTATCGATTGTCTACTTGAAATAATTTAGGACCAGTTATTAGGACTTGCTAAAGCTGTAGCCAATGCAACCGCTGGATTAGTTGTGAAGGCTAAAGTGTTAGCTTCACAGATTACCGCCGATCCTGAAGCTCAACAACGTGTAATTGCTTCGGTTACGCAGACTGGTTTATGTACTAGTCAACTGGTGGCTTGTACCAAAGTAAGTTGAATTTCTCTTCTTATTTTTAAATAAACAAACATGAAAATGATCTTATCACTTATTCTTATTCTTATTATTCTGTTTTTGGATGGGACAAAATGGTGACTGGATTTCTCTTCTATAGTGTACTAGCAGCAATCATCCTGCTGTCTGTAGTCTATTTTAGGTGGTTCCACGATTACCCATAAGCTTTCATTTACTCCTCAGACGATCTCCTCCATATCACCCTTGGACGCCAACTCGTTGTTTTCCATTCTTCTCCTACTCGAAGGCCAGAAGCCAAATATTCAAAGGTCTCTTCAATGTGTTCGTTCCATTTTCTTCGGCATATTTATTGAACTATGGGTTCTTGAATGGTTGGTTCCTGGAGTTCCTTGTTGCTGGTCCTTTCCTTCTGGCTATCCGATCTTTGGCATGGGTCGAGGGCAGGTATTCGTAAAAGTATGCGACATGTTGGAAACACGTTTGGGGACACGCCCACTAAGTATCTGATATGTATCCATATATATATATATATATATATATATATATATATATATATATATATATATATATATATATATATATATATATATATATATATATATATGGTGGTCTCTCTTTCTGTTGCTCTCTTAGTCTCTGACCATTTCACTTTGATGAACCTGTCTCCTTTAACAATGTATATTCCCCTTATAGGATATATAATATGTTTGTTTGTTGACAGTCTGTTCTTTGTGATATATATATCCATATAATATGTGTGTTTGTTTGACAGTCTGTTATATTTCGCTATGTATATATGGATCGATACTCCATTATAATTAGCCAATCATGTTAAGACTGTCTATTGATTTGTTCACACACTTGTTTGGACATTCATATATATTTTGCTCTCACACTCTTGTGTGACTTGGATTCTCCTTGTGTTTGGAAAATAGAAGTATCATCGCAGACCTAGTGGTCTTCTGATTTCCGTCTTTCTTGCGTCAGGACTATTAAATTCTCGACCAGTAAATAACAATAATTTGGCGACGAGTACATAACAGTATCTGAACCATGCGGAAGCACTGAGCTGACATTAGTGTTAAAGATTCTGATCTTGTCCCTTATTCTGGATGCAGGTGATTTGCACAGTAATTTTCGAGTATAAGAAGGTCCATCTTGCTTTTTCGATCCTTTTTTGTGCCACCTATAGTTGAAACGACAACGCCTAGATAAGTGAAAGAAGTGGTTTCCTTAACATTTCTCTTGTTGGTGGTGATTAATGCTTGCTGTTGTTGATGTTATCGGTTAGTATAACTTCATCACCTCTGGTTTCTGTTTTGTTCACTCAAAGTAGTTATTGCTTATTAGCACTGATAATTGCATATGGTTCTTTAAAATAACAATAAATTAATGAATATCAAGTCAGATTTCAATACATAAATCGATATCATGTAAGAGAAATAAATACAAATCAAAGAAATACTAAACTGTAATGTCTGTGTGTGTATATATTTTGATATTGTAGTCTGAAACAATCCAGCTGTGTACACTTACAGCCCCTAAATGAGATTAAACTTATGATGTCTAAATAATATATGAATCAGTTGGTATTAATGTTCATATTGTCATCGAAAGTATTTTGAAAGTCAATTGTACACTGTCATACGCTAATGAAATGATGAATAAATTCACTATCTTGAAAAATATACAGTAGGCATTAACTTATTGAAAACAGGTACTGTCATAGTTCCTAATGCAACTTATCGTAATGTATATTCCATTTTCGTTAAAAAGTACTAACTTATATGGTCAACCATTGCCTACTACGATGTGAAATACTAACAAATATAGTATTCGGAAAGAGGGGTCATTGATTGATCAACACAAATTTGAGACATGTTATAAGATGTCGAAAATTGAATGTCACTAACTTCATTAATTGGATTATTCTCTCAATAAAAAAGGAACAATAATAACCTAAATCTTTTTATTTTCTGTCTATCAGGGGTTTTTTTAGTAGTCCTATCCATCATCCATTGAATTGTTTTATCTTTCAAGTAATATGCCTTTACCTACTAATATTGTTCATTTTATCTATGTTTATTAATATTATTCATTCGTTGCGTTCCGAATGGAACATATGGTTTGAGTAACATGTGTCTAGTGCACTCGGTTCGTTGTTATCACTATCGTCTGGCTTCGCTGTTGTCTGCAAGCTTTCATTTTGTTTTCATATAGTCTTCCCTACGTCACTTTCGAATTCCCCATCCTTTGCTTTCCATTCGGGTTTCACTCGAAGTCCTGGGTGTGATGTCATAAAATATGATAAATGTGGGCGATGATATAGTTCGTAGTCTTCATTTTTTACAGCTTACTGTAATTGCATTGGATTTTTTTTAGCTATTATGTCTTGTTTTTAATAATCTTAAGTTTATTACTTTTTCCAAAGAAAGATTCTTTATAATAATGATCTATTTTGATTTATTTAGGTTTTGGCGCCTACTATTCATCAACCAACATGTCAACAACAATTAAGTGAAGCAGCTCGTGAAGTTACATGGGCTGTAGACGGTGTAGTTCAAGCATCACGTGCTACTGTTCATGTTCCATGTGAGGATCCACAAATTGTACAACAATCAATTATTGAGACAGAAACTGCAGCTACAGAAGTTAGAGATGCATTAGATCAACTCAATGCACACTTAATTAAAGGATCATTTAAGGTATATTATTGATTTTGAATAATGTATGAAATGCTAACACTAACCTTATGTTAAATCTCTGACTTTTCACATCACAGACTACGATGAGTAGTTGTCCACTCATTGTATCCTATAGTAAATAACAATTACTTACAAACGAAAAAAATCATTTCCATTAATTGCAGACAAAAGTTAAGTGTTTAAGACGACACTATTGGACATTAAAAAACCACTTTTTTTACAATAGGATTAGTGTATATGCTCCATTATGGATAAGATTTTATTTTGATAAATCACACAGTGTTGTACAGTAATGTTAACTGTTGACGTTTCAAGCACAACTGTACAACACTGTATGATTTATCAAAATAAAATCTTATCTACCACACTGCCCAAGTTTTATACTTAATATTAGTATATGTGCCTTTACTGATAGAATTCAACTATCACTAAGATCTACTACACAATATTTTATTACTTACACCCCTCGTGATGATTGGTCAGTATATTCTGCATGGGCTTACAAAAGTTAATCATATCTTTAACTGTAGCACAGTGTTATGCATTCAAATCTTTGAGGAAACATAGATTCAGTTGATGTTACAGATACTCATCATTGATGTGAGAACAGAGTCATGACTGAATGTTTCCTATTAATTGTTTCTTAGTCATCTAATGGGATTTATAAATTAGAGATAATAAAACAATGCTTGTATGTATGACTACGAAAAATGCAATGATTAGTTGATGTAATTGAAAACAGTTGATAAGTCAGTGAATTAATTTCAAAAGGCATTATTATTACTATATCCTTTAATTCCTAGAGGAACATAGGGCTTCAGCTGCGCACCTCCATTGCCTTCTGTTTTCTGCCAACTTTTTCACTCCGCTCCAAGTCTGCCAAGATGCTTTCATCTCTTCCTCACATGACCTCCTCCAAGTCACCCTTGCACTGACGACCAACTCGCCGCTTCCCTTTCGGCGGGGTTCCACTCGAGCGATGGCTTGTCTAGTGATGTCACTTGATGGCTTGTCTCCTCAGAGTATGGCCAGCCAATCCATCTCCATTTCTTCCTGCCTATTTGTTTCACAATCGGTTCCTGCTGTGTTGGTTCGCTCATTTCCAGAGATCCATCCCTGATGCTGATCTTTTCTGGCCGGCCATCTGATCTTGAGTGGTATTGAGCGAAGACAACTGTTAATGAAGGTCTGAAGTTTGTTTGAGATGCTCTTTATGACGCGCTGGCCAAGTCTCTGATCTGTATAGCAAGTAGCACTGACTGACTTCACATTGGAGTTGAAAATCCGGATCTTATACTCGTTTTGATGCTGAGTGCTGTTGACCTCCACACAGACTTGAGAGTAATGAAAGCTTGTCTTGCTTTTCCGAATCTGGCTTTGATATCCTCGTCAGTTCCGTCTGCCTGTAGTTGAAACGATGCTTCCGAGGTCGGTAGGTGAAGGAGCTTGTTTCTTCCTGTTTCCTCCTATTTGTGCTGATTGTTGTCTGTTGTTGTTGGTGGTGGTGTTGGCCAGGAATTTTCATCACCTCTGTTTTATCTATGTTCACTCGAAGTCCTATCTTTGATGCTTCTTCTGCCAGCTTGTTACTTTTCACTTGCATATCTTCCAGTTTGTAGGAAATCAGACATATATCATCGGCGAAGTCCAGATCATCCAAGTCCTTTTTTGTGTGAGTCCATTTTATGCCTGTTTCCTCACTTCCCGTTGTCTGTCGCATTATCCAGTCTACTGCAATCAGGAAGATCATTGGTGATAGTAAGCAGCCTTGCCTCACTCCCGTCCTCACTTCGAAGGCTTCCGTAAGTTTCCCGTTGTGGATTACTTGGCATGCAGTGCAGCATTGTCGTATAACTGTTGGATGAGATGTATAATTGTCGATGGGACCCCGTAGTATCGAATAAGTTGCCAAATGTTTTCTCGATCGACACTGTCGAAGGCCTTTTCAAAGTCGATGAAGTTGAGATAGAGAGGTGCACTGTGGTAGAGTATAATTCCATTATGGATAAAATTTTATTTTGATAAAGTCACACAGTGTTATATAGTAATACTTACTGATGATATTTAGAGCACAATTTATGACCGCTTATAATCATATCAAGTTTCTCATACAACTTTCCAACTTCGTTTATATAATTCCATAATTTTTCATCGCTTGATTTGATTGGTAGTAGTAATTTCCGTATATCCGGTATGAGCGATGTGTCATTCGTATTACATGTGTTGGATGTTTACTCGATGAACCTCTCTCCACCTTCCCATATTACTTCTTAGAATTATAACCCTCTCCCACCCACAATGGAATTGAAGATGACACCTTTTTTTCTTCTCAAAACTTCTTCACATGTACATATGTGCAGGCCATAGACTCTCCTTATATTTACCTATATCACCTGAAAACAGACTTCTCTGTAGTAATCTTTTTTTTCTTTCTTTCTTTCTTTTCCACTTTCTGTCAACTACAGACTATTATTATCTTTATACTGTCTGTTCTTCTTCATGTTTCAAGATAACAATAACGTCTTACTTATTAGGTATACTTAAAAAGGTGTTTGTTGTGTTATGTCCTTTTCGTTGTTTCTATTCACAAATCATTATTGTCCTTTCTTTTTTCCTTTCCTCCTTAGACGGATAGTAGATTTGCCTAAATAATAGTTACTTTGTCAATTATCAAGAATGGTACTTTTAAACTTAATATGTCAAAAATATCACCCACTGACATTTCTGTAAGATGAAAATAACCATGTAATACATACCGATACCACCAATATACTACTTTCCTACTTAATATTGTTTTCTGCTTTACATTTATAAAGATATAAAATGCTTTTATCTGCAGATTGTAGTAGTGAACTACTGGAATTATATCTACCATAAGTAGTAATCTCAATGGTGAAGGGGATGATTCCTCAGCCCAAATGTTTCACTTTCAATCAATGAATCCTGAGTTTACAGCCTTTATCATCTGTTTTAGCCTGGTCAGTCAGATAGTAGTATAAACCCTCACGTAAATAACTTGTCTATTGCATTGACCGTGTAACTCGAAGTAGAAAAATAATAAAGTACTGAGTCGAATTAGCGATTTGCTGTCTATACCTTTCGAGGTGAAATTTTACCAGTTTCCTACGGAGATAGAAATTATTCAGATAACAGTATGTAATTTGCTGGATGTCTCAAGTAGTAATCAAGAAAGCGAGCATAATTGCATGGCGTCAAAAATTACTGATTGATACGAGTTGATATTCAGAGCTGAGGTTGTAGATATTCTGAGCTTTCTAATTCTCATTGACTCTCGATTCTGTTAATATATCTTCCAAAATTAGTTAATGCGTCTTCTTCAGTACTGCCTTACTATATATATAGTTTTTATTTTATTCCTTTGGGTTCTCAGTAGAACATAGACCTTCAAGCTTTGAGTTTTGACGTTTCAGTAGTAGTGGTGTTATTCTTTATTTTTACAGGGGGGGGGGTGGTTGCTAGCTGCCCACCCAACTTTTCCTCTTTACTTGATTTACTACTACCTAGGGGAGGTTTGGGATTGCGTCGGCTGGGGATCGAACCTCGGACCAGCTGAGTAGTTGGCTAGCATTCTACGGCTGAAATACCGATGCATATATTTTCTATAATTTATACTGTCAGGATGAAACTCATGATACAATTTATTTAAAGTATAACGAAATCAAACGGTTTTGTCTATCTGCTGTGTGATTAAACAAACGCATGTTTTTTTTCTTATTGACTTCCACAATTGTCTGTGTCAGGGATATCAAGGAGATGCATTGAATAGTTTTCAGACCGCTTATGAAGACCTTAAACAGTATTACACTACAGATGGTCAACGTATGGTTGCATCTGCACGTCGTCTTGCACAGGCTACAGCTCTAATGATTGCTGACATTAAAGCACAAGCAGAAGAATCTGGAGATGATTCGGACAAACAGAATCGTTTATTCCATGCTGCTAAACAGTTAGCAGATGCTACTACTAACTTGATCAATGCTGCTAAGGTTAGTTGATCTTAAAATACAATTGTCTCTGTTTTGAACATACCTTATTTCTAACAACCGTCTGGCTCAACAGAAATATTGTATATTATTTGCGATAGTTTCAGATTGACAAACTTTTATTTATACAGTGGGGTTGATGATGGGATTTGAAGTAAAAACATGGATCGCGTTAAACCTAGAACCAGTACTTCCTGGTCCCTAGATATTTAATATCACAGTTATTGATCATTTCGCATTTTCTCCTAGTTGATCGAACAATATAACACCCAGAAGTGTGTTTCATATTGAAGAACAATCATAATGCCTCACTTAAGTAGTCGCATAAATGTTGGTAAACAAATATTGTGATCTTATGATGTTGAAACGTCTTATTCACATACTCTTGAATCTACCATCTGTCGGAAAAAAGGAAAGGATCTCTCGGTATATTTCAGTCAAAATATGTAGGCCGGGAGATGTACGATTTTCCTGTGAGTACACGAGCATTGCGGTTTCCGTGTAACTGTTTAGCTGCTCATGCGTAGTTCGTCTAAGAATACATTCTTTATAACAGCATACGTAAATATCAAACCATTCGTTTTCCAAAAGGTAGAAAATATCACCTTATTAATTTATGAAATTGTATACATGTTCGTTTGACTATAATTTATACAATCAATAGTGCTGATTTCACTCACCATTCTTTTTCTGCTTCATATACTTTTTTAAAATATTTTAGGCGTGTTCATCGAACCCAGACAACATAGAACTACAAAGTGAATTACGTGATGCTGCAGATAATTTGAATTCAATTGCTTATTCAGCTGGAGCGGAACAATTTCAAACACGACTAATACACAATTTACAGGCTGCTGCACGTGCTACAGTTACTGGTGCTACACAGTTAGTAAATATTAGTCAAGCGGCTACAAAATACTCTCGTGGTAATAGTTATCAAGTAAGTCAACTAGTTGAATTTTCTTTTTAAATTTCATCTCTCTTCTGTTTTCTTCTCATTTTATTCACTTTTAGCTTTTACGCGTTCAGACCAACAAATTCAATGCCTCATAAACTCGCATCAGAAAGCAGGCGAACATTATTCTTAAATGTCTGACATTTCTCGTTCACCAGAATAGCCTGCTACATACCATAGATGTTTATATATATATATATATATATATATATATATATATATATATATGGCTTTTCCGACCAATTTACAAGTAATGTCATCCATTCTACATTAGGCATATTTCATTCGTCATTATTCCTTGCTTATTTAGTTTATTATTCCATTGTAGGTCGAAAGCCGTGGGTTATTTGTTAGATAAGCAGAAAGATTGTTTTCTATCAAATTTATTTAACAGTCATAAATAGAAAATTTGGATCTGTCAATTAAATTTCAATGTTAGGCGGCTTACCAGGCATGCCGGAGGTCTGGGCTCGATTCCCGACCGACGAACTCTTAAATCTCACCTAGTCTAACAAACTGAAGTAAACCTGGAAAAGACGGGAGGCTGAGCATCAGGCTAATAATCCCACCCCTTAAAAACAACACTGTCACTACTGAAACTTCGATGCTTGGCGCCTATGTTCCACTTGGAACAAAAAGTATGAAGAAAAAACTGAAGTTAATCGAAAAACAGTAAGCTTTTCTTGAGGAAAAAATTGCATATGAATTTAATTAGACTAAGTGAAAGAAAAACAACATGTGTTATCCCTGTCTTCCAAATTGATTTTATTACTTTAAAAAGAATGATAGATTTCTCTGTTTTACCTAACAAGAATTTTTCCACACTTTTTCTTTCCTTTCTGTACTTGTTTATCATTTAGCTACATAATGATACAAGAAATGTCACGAATCTTATTCCCAAAACTGTTATTACAATTAGAGAATCACGTGCTAATCCAAGTGATCCAATGACACTACTTGAATTAATTGGCGCTTGTGAACGTTTCATACAAGTAAGTTGAAATGGAAATATGCAAAAAGAGAAAAGATGTTGTTATTGTCACCTGGCAGTTAGTTAGTTAGTTAGTCAGTGTTACTTTTGATTTTGTTGTTACTGTTGTTGTCGTCGTCGCCGTCGTCTGCGTCATCGCGTTTACGATATTTTCTAGTGAAAGCTGTTCTAATTTACACTACTTTCTAAAGAATGAGGGTGTCTGTTTTAAACAAAAGTCTCAGTAGAAGGAGACTCTGTCTGTTTGATGGTTTCATTTTTATCATGTTTACAGTCCTGTCATAATCTCCTAGTTCTTCTTAATAACCTTTTTCTTCTTCTTGTTCTATTTACTGCAGTATTGGAAGTTATAAGTCTGTCTGTCTGTCTGGATTCAACATAGAACTTGGCACCGAAGTGCAGTAGTTCGAGTTGCCACGTTCCAAATACCACACAAAGGTAGACAAGAAGATGAGTGGAGAGAATCAATAGAGTTTGACAGGTATAAGAGCGAAACAGAATGGGTAATGGTAGAAAGAAATATGAAAGATTACAGAGACTGAGTACATCTGCGCCATTGACAACGATTTTGAGCCATGTCACCTATTGTCTCCAGCCATTGATTCGTAGAGTCCAGAGGGCCCCAATCCGGAAGTCTGCATCTCCCTACCTGACTCAGTTTAACTGTCAAGGATTTCATGGATTGATGAGGCCATGTTTTTGTTTGGCCACCACTTCTGTTAATCTTCAATAATGCTATCTAGGATACATATTTTGTCTCGTTTAAATCTTCTTAACTGGATGTACTTATATCTAAGTGACTGTTTATGTTCGTATTGTTGCTCAAACCTACTACTTGCTATTTCAAACACCAAATTTTATTCATCAAATTACTAAGTTATGAAAGTCATCCATAGTTGTTTCTTTTTAGTGAGCACCAACTTGTTAATCTAATTTCCTTATTGGCTGCTTTGATATCGAAGCTGTCTAGTTAGCAGCAGATATCTATTAGCTGAATTTACCTTCGTCAGTGTGTTAATTTTCTCACTGAAACTCTGATACAACAATTGCTGTTTCATCAAATGCTGAAATGCATCCAGCTTGCCCCTATTGTATATATGACCGAAATTTTATTAAATTTACTATCTAGGCGTCCATACTAGTATTACAGCACAGAGAAGCTCATATATTTACGTTTGTGAAATAATACAGAATATTTTGTAGTTCATTATAATGATGGAAATTGTGTGATGTTCTCCGAACTTTGGTATTTGATCGTGGACTTTTCATCAATAATAAACTTAATACTGAAGATGCCAGCTAAGCCTTCTAATGGGATGTCGATAACCAAATACCGATATCAATCTTTAAGATTGTCATCCTATTCCACTTTTCTGTACTGATTGTGATAGCTTAGTCCCCATGCAGACCACTTGACTTACTATGGTTTATCGTTTCTATATTTTCCGAAATCTCATATGGAACTTTACTTGGCACTAAATCGTACACTTTATTTAAAACAATTAGTCCCTTTTATAAATTTTGATAGCGTTATTAGAAGACGGAGACTGTCTGAAAAATGTGATGTATTAGCGCTATACATTTCGAACAATCTGATCACACATTTACTTGTCAAGTCAATATATATAGAAAGGTTAAATTAAACAAAGTGAGAGAAAACGGAATTAAGAATAATTAACACAAACGTTTGGTAATCCAATCAAATAAGGATTACCAAGGTAGGTTAAGAGTAATGACAAACTGTTTTTGAATACACAAGGGGGGCTTAAGTCTATGAATAGCTATAGCCTCAGCGTATTTCAGTAAACGCCCTTGACCGTTTTTATAGATGACCTTAAAGGCTGAGTTAACATCAATCTTATGGTTCATCTCGATTAGATGTTTAGCTATAGACGAATTTGGTAGTCTGCCACCTGCATCTATTAGCTTGTCACAATTCATCTGTTTTTCTAACCATTTTGGGATATGCTCTCCCACCCTCACGTGCAAAGCGCGATTACTCCTCCCTATGTATGTATGTCCACACACACACGAAAATTGGTAAATTGTATGGGATGTGATATAATCACTTGTGCACTTTTGGGGTTTACAGTGAAGCATATTTTTGGCTTTTTCCACAATTACAAGCTGGGCTGCATAGTAGGTTCTACGGATGATTGAATTCAACCTTTGTCTCACAATCCTACTGTTTATTTCCCCGTTATATGGTAATTTGATAAAAACCTTTTTCTTAGGGACGGTATGGATTGTAGGTTTAGAGGCTAGTTGACTTCTACACCTGTTTAAAAATTTCAAAGGATATCCGTTTTCAACAAGAGTATCCATTAATATTTCGTTTTCTCTGTCCATAACATCAGCCGTGCAAATACGCTGAATCCTCTTGAATAGACACTTCACCAAGCCCCTCTTATACTGTAATGGACAGAAGCTGTGAAAATTAAGGTATTGCCCTGTCCAAGTGGGCTTTCTGTAGATAGACCGTCTTATTGAGCCATCATCTCTTCGACTCAGAAGTATGTCTAAAAATGCTAGCTGGTTGCGACTTTCTTCCTCACATGTAAGACTAATATGATTTTGTACAGAGTTAAGTCTGTCTAATAGGCGACTCGCATCTTCATGATCGTCACATATCAAAATGATATCATCTACATATCTCCTATAAAAGGGCAATTTTGAAATTAAATCAAGGGATAAGTTTTCAACATAAGACATATACACGTCCGATAAAAAAGGTCCTAATGGACTCCCCATAGCAACGCCATCCACTTGTCGAAAATGTTCGCCTTCAAACGTGAAATGGACGTTGTCAGTACATAATAATAATAAATCTTTCAAATAAGTTAAAGGGAAAGGGAATGAAAAACAACTAGAAGATATATAGTCACAAAGAATATCAACAGTCTTAATCAATAGTAAACAAAGAATTAACATCAAATGAATACATTTTCCTATCTTTTATGTTCATATCTACAAGACAGTCAACAAGTTCAAATGTATCTTTCAAAGTAAACTTACATAATTCATTGCGTACTGGGCTTAAAATATCAGCTAACCATTTTGCTAGTTTATGTGTAGGAGAGTTACACATTGAAAGAATTGGACGTAATGGATTGTCAACCTTATGAATTTTAGGTAGTCCATAGAGGTTTGGAAAATCAGATCCCATGGGTTTCAAGGAGTTAAACTCCTGTTTATCGATAACGTTCATGCCACGAAGTTTTACTAAATGAGAATTTACTTTTCCTTCCAATTTTCTGATATCATCCGAAGGAAAAAAAAAAAAAAAAAAAAAAAAAAAAAAAAAAAAAAAAAAAAAAAAAAAAAAAAAAAAAAAAAAAAAAAAAAAAAAAAAAAAAAAAAAAAAAAAAAAAAAAAAAAAAAAAAAAAAAAAAAAAAAAAAAAAAAAAAAAAAAAAAAAAAAAAAAAAAAAAAAAAAAAAAAAAAAAAAAAAAAAAAAAAAAAAAAAAAACATCGGCTATGAATTTATTTTCGTCATTAAGAATGGATAACATTTTTGTTTTATAATCATTTCTGTCCATTACAACTACACCAGATCCTTTGTCAGGTTTCAGAATAACTATATCGGATCTATTACGTAATTCCTTTAGGGCTTTAAAATGGGTTGATGTTAAAATGCTTCTTTGTTTTCGACTTGAATTACGGAATTGGTGTGCAACATCAACAAATTTAACTTTCAGCCAACTTTGGTCATCTGTCGAGGAAGGAGTTAGAGAACTCAACTGATCATACAAATTTTCAAAATCAATTGCTAAGTCCGAAATATTGTTTAATGGGATAGAAAAATTGAAACCAAGTGATAACACCTCCTTTTCATGTAATAAAAGTTCAACCGATGACAGATTTGTCACATACTTATCAGGATTTAATGGGAATTGGTTTAATTCAAAGTCAGAGGTACCGGATCCAAGCAGTTTCAATCTAGTATTCTCTTTCGTCTTATTAACGGCAGAGCTACAAAAATTAATGAACTTGATTTGGCAGATTATGGAGATATCAGACAATATATTTGATGATGATAAATGGAGTTCAATCCACATAACTTCTCATTAGAACTGTCAATGTGAGATTTCGTAAGGCGAATAAGATTTGAAATATTTGGTTGAAGTTTAGAAGATCGAAGAGATTTGTAAAATGCTTTCGGGAATGTGTGACTTGAGAGACAAGATTTATAAAAATCCAATTTCACCTTTTCAGATGCTACTTTACACTTTAGGTTAAGAAGTCCATCTAACCGTTTAATAGTGCATGGAGGGAGTCTTCTTTTCAAAAATTTAAACAATTAGTCCCTTTTATAAATTTTGATAGCGTTATTAGAAGACGGAGACTGTCTGAAAAATGTGATGTATTACACTTTATTGTCATGAACATGATTTTCTTTTACGGCATATATCATCACTAACTAAAGAAGTGAAAACCAAAGAACACTTAACAAGTGTAATTTCATGATGAAGTCTACTTTGAATTAAATCAAATCTTCGCAAGTTCTTATGTGTACATAATTTCTAGTTGACTGTAGCCCCTTCACTACTTCATTTACTGTTGGATAGATCTGTCGAATTGCTTCAGTAATATTTTATCTAATGTTTACATTTCTATAAATACATATAAATAATACCAAGTACAATTTATGACCTATATTGTTAAATAACTGTCTTCAATAATGACTTTAGTATACTTTATTAATAGAAAAATTACACGTTGTCCACTGTGATTGAATATATAACACCTAAAACCTATAATGTACAGAAATTAATTTGCATGGATCATCATATTTCAGTCTCTTTCTCTAATCTCCACTTACTCTATTTGAATTCACAGCCTAATTCTCGTTTTCTTGTTCATACATATATGAACATGTTAATTAAGGATAGAGAGAAATATGAATCCTGACAAGATTTTAACCAGTGGTTAATGTGTAATTTTTTTCTGTGGAGCAGAATCATCTCAATTGGTTTCGTTGTAAATATACTCTTTTGTGCTTTTTCGTTTTTAAAAGTTACTAAATTGAATTTTTAACGAATAAATGTACATCCTTCTTTTAGCCATGCACTGCACTGGTGCGATCCAGTAAATCAATAGCGCCAACACTGTCTGATCCAGCTATTCAAGCAGCCTTGGAAAATTCTAATAGTCAACTGGCTATTGCTTTAGAAACATTAGTTACATGTTTACTAAGAGCTGCACCTTTAGCACGTCATCTGCAATTAGATGGTGCATTAGCTAAATTGACCCGTTTATCTGAAGAAGTAACTGCAGTGGAGTCTAGTTTAGCTCAAGGAATATTAGCTCCTATTCCAGAACAAAAAGTAAGTAAATTCTATCAATATTTTAATTATTTTAAATAAAAAATTATAGTTATGCACAAGTTGATTTCATGCTTGCGCTTTAAACTTGTAAATTGTTTCTCTATAAATTGATATGTGTAGATAAACTAGTGCTCTTCTCCCTACTTTTTACTTAAACTGGACGTTATACATTTCTGAGTTGAAGTTAACTTGTTCAGTCCCTTAGAGGAGATTATCAATTACACGTGTTTGATAAGAGATAATTAACAAAGTAGAATCATTTATTAATGAAAATCCAAAACAATTAGTTCATAGAAGAGGCTTTTTTCAGTGAATTCATTTACTTTAGTTGTACAGTCGCATTTATATACAAATTTTTCACAAAAGAGAATAGTTAAAAAGACTCAGATGGGTTGTCATAATCATAGTTGCTAATATTTATCAATTCATAAGTGGAATTGAATAAGCGTGTTACAGTTAAGTAATGAGATAAATAGCTTATTGAATGAGCTGTAGACAGGATGCTCATAGAATTGTGGGGGGAGGGGTGAGAATGTGGTATTAAATAAAAGTTCGAAAGAAATAGAAGAGTTATAGAGAGTTAGAAAATAAAAATCAAATTGTTTAAAATAAACAGGGTCGTTGCCGTGGTTAACTGACCAATATTGGCAAGTCTGATTACTTATTTACAGGAGTTAGTTTGTAGGGATATGATTTGAAGTTAGACCACAGATTGATATCAGCTATAGAACCATTGAAAACCTGGCAGTAGGTAGTTTGAACCCTGGTAGGTGCGTACTGCCTATGAGTCCCAAACTAGGACGAAAAAGCTGTCCAGTACTCCCTAGTTTTCAATGCTTCTCTAACTGATATCGGTCCGTCGTCAAACTTGATAGTATGATTATGACAACTCATTGCTTTTTTACTATCCTCTTTCGTAGAAAAAGTCATGCAGATACAATTGTACAGCTAAAGGAAATGAATTCGTCGGAAACAGCCTCTTCTTTGAACTACCTGTTTGCTTGTTGTTGTTTTTTTCATTAATGTCTGCATGAGTATTGTTCATTAATAATTTATTCTCTATGACCAAATGTATTAGCTACATAAATGTTTGCTTATTGTTTTTATACACAATCTACTATGTTAGATTTCATAATTCTGTCTGTCTACTTAAGTCTCCATTAGTAGCTGCCGAACTGTTCACTTTCCGACTGGTTCAGTGTTAGACGCTGCGTTATTCACTTCACTTTTAGCCAATGGAATCTCAGTCCATCTACTTCAGTCTACGTGACAAGATAGTATCATCAGCCCTCGCACGATAATTGTAGCTCACGGTTTCATACGTGAAAAATCTGCTCCGGGCAATTAAGCTCAAACATTCAGTGTCTAATATCTAAAGTAATTGTTTAGAGTTGTATATTTTAAGTGGATTATTATCTGTCAAAGATATAATTCTGTATATATTAATGAATTTCTAGGATGGGAATAATCGATTGGAACATCACTAATTTTAGCTTGACAGTTATGTTTACTGGGTTAATATAAGACTGTCTACTTGCAAAATTTAAAAAGTAATCGTTATTTATTTTTTCTTTGAAATTTTATGTAGATAGTTTAAAAACTAATGAGTTAATTGTTAATTACTTAAACTGTCAATTAATTCATTTATTTACGAAGGAAAATATGATCATTTATTCCTTTAAATTAGTGCAGATATGCCTCTATTATAAATAAAATCTTATTTATAATGGAATTATACTCTACCAGGGTGCCCAAGTTTCAATAGTACAGAGATGGCTCATTGATTTAAGCAACCAACTTTCAGCTGGTTGGACTCGATTTTGAATCCTGCTCTGTTTATTTCACCCTAGGCAACTAGGTAATATCATCAGCCTCCCCCTCCCCCCCCACACACAGTGTGTATGACACATAGCCTAATGCATAAGAATTCTTAAATAAATGACACGTTATCAATGAAAATGTATTCATAGAATTTATTCTGACCAGTTATTTCTTACCTCTAAATAGGGTTACTTAGTGCTGAGAATCTTCTTACGTCTCCACGCTGGGTTATTTTTTCTTTTGGAAGAAAAATGTCTTTTAAACTTAATTTTATTGTCAATTATCACTTCTGTTCTTTAATAGACAATTAAATCTTCATAAACAATTTGCCTTTATTACTCTAAATAAATTAGTTTTTTATCACAATAATTTTGATTAAACACAGTATTTCCTTAAAAAAGAAAAAAGAAAGATACTTATACTAGAATTTGACTCGCTTTCTTCTTTTGCTTTTTCATCTGTTTTGATTGTTTTATGTGCAATAAAGTATGCTGACTGTAAAAAGTGTTGTTGTGTTTCTTGTTTAGGTCGAAGACTGTTGTCATCTTCTTAATACAAGTGTTCATGATGGAAGTGAATCTGCTAAAAAGTTAAACTCTATTATACATGCAATGGCCAACATGGATTCAACTGCCTTAAATCAACCTGAGTTAGCCGGTCAGTCAGCTGATCAGTTAGCTTCATCTATGGCTGGACTTGTACAAGCAACACGTGGTATTATAGCTGATCAAAATAATCTTATCCTTGGTAGTACTGTTTCAGGTTCACCGATGGTTTCCAGTTCTGTTGCAGATTCAACACGTCGACGTATTGTTCAAGATACACGACAGGCTATCCAACTATCATATGAATTAGTTAGAGCAGCAAAAGACGCCAGAATAGCATGTGATTCAAAGCAACCAACTAATGCTGCAACAGTTCATAGTCATAGCCAACAATTAACTTCACAACTTATTGAAACACTAACACGTTGTCTATCTGGTTTACCTGGACACAGAGAAATTAGTGAAGCTACTCACTTAATTGAACAAAAACGTTCTCAGTTAATTCAATTTTCACAACCAAATCAAACTAAACTGACAGCAAGATTTGTTGAACCAGATGAATATCAAAGGAAACAAGCAGATTTAACTCAAGCAGCTGTAGAATTTAACCAAGTAAGTAACGCTAAAGAAAATTCACCATTCTTACTTATACTTCACGCATGTATTCATGACTGTATACCTTTTTATCTATTATTAAATTCTGTTTGTCGAATTTATTTCATACTATACTATGTGGTATTTGAGGATTTTTTTAGCCTCTTATAAAAGACAGCCAAGGGAACCCAATTACCAAGGAAGAAAAACAGATTAAACAATGGGCGGATCACTTCAAAGGACTCTTGTACCGACCACCACCTGCAACCCGTCCAGAAATACCAACAACAGCGCGCACACAACTGCAAGTTGACACCAATCCTCCAACGAGAGCTGAAGTCTTGAATGCAATCAAGCTTCTGAAAGCTGGAAAAGCAGCTGGACCAGATGGTGGAATACCCCTGAAGCACTGAGAGCGGACCCAGAGACTACAGCAGACATGCTGACTCCATTATTGCAAAAGGTCTGGAAGGAGGGAAAGGTGCCTACTGACTGGAGGAAAGGTTACCTCGTGAAACTACCAAAGAAGGGCGACTTACGCCTCACTCTGCAAGAACTGGCGAGGAATCATGCTCCTATCGACGCCAAGTAAAATCCTGAGTCGCATCATCCTGGAGAGAATAAAGGACGCACTGGAGACAGAACTCCGACCAGAACAAGCTGGATTCAAGAAAGGCAAATCGTGTACTGACCAAATTGCAACTCTACGCATCATCATCACAGAACAAAGGATGAAATGGGAATCAAAACTCTACCTCAACTTTATAGACTTTGAAAAGGCCTTCGACAGCGTTGATCGTGAAGTAATTTGGAAACTACTCGAGTATTACGGCGTACCTCAAATATTCATCAATCTTATTCAACAGCTGTACGACAACGGTACATGTCAAGTGATCCACAACGGAAAACTCAGCGAGGCGTTTGGAGTAAACACAGGAGTCAGACAAGGGTGCTTACTATCACCCTACCTGCTTACTATCCTAATTATGGTGGACTGGATTATGCGTCAGACAGTGGGAAACGAGAAGACAGGAATATCCTGGACTGACGCCAAGAACCTAGAAGACCTGGATTTCGCGCGTGGATGATATATGTTTGATGTCACACAAAATCGAAGACTTACAAGAGAAAACCGACAAACTGCTCGAAGAAGCAGCCAGCGAAGACAGGACTCCAGGTAAACATAGACAAGACGGAGGTTATGAAAATAACCAACCAACAACAGCAACAACATCCAACGTCAATCACCATCAACGGCAGGGATTTTAAACAGTTTACTTCATTCACTTATCTAGGAAGCATCGTCTCAACTACAGGCAGTCGGACCGGACGAGGATGTCAAATCGAGCGAGAATCGGGAAGGCGAGAAACACACATTCATCAACCTGAAATCAATCTGGAAATCTTCGTCACTCAGCATCAACGACAAAATTCGGTCGGATTTTCAATACAGACGTAAAGTCAGTTCTTCTATACGGATCAGAAACTTGGCGGGTGGGTCACAAAGAATATTTCCAAAAGGTTGCAGACCTTTATTAACAACTGTCTTCGCTGGATCTATACTGAAGATCAGATGGCCGGGCCGGGCCGGAAAGAATCACCAACAAGTAACTATGGGCACAAACAAACAAGACAAGAATATGGATTAACATGGATGCAGGCGAAAAGTACAGCAGAAGACAGAAGCAAGTGGAGACGTGCAATTGAAGCCCTATGTTCCACTAGGAACCCAAGGGAGTAATAATAATAATAACTTAACAATCGCATTTGCTGGGCATATTTTACTCCTCTACCTCTGCTCCGTCTCCTCCTATATATGAATCTAGGCTTCACATAGTGTCTCATTTACTGGATGACGTTTCGAACAAAATATATTGCTCATAACCATATCAATTATAATCACACGACTTCGAGATTTGATTTGTATAGTTTTCTTTGTCCTCTCCTATTCGTCGTCGTAGGGGTAGTAGGATTTTCCAGATATCTGGGACAGGTATTGAATCATTCCTACTACATGTATTTGCAGTTGATTCGATAAACAAGGCTTCTGTTATCAATCTCTCCCTCTGCCCTGTGACATTAGATTTCAAAATTGTCATCTTGTCCAATCCTATTGTATGGTTGTGTGTAATTGCATGTAGTGAGTGCTATAGCTGAACTAGATTTTTTATTATAAATTACTTAAATTAATCCCAGCGTGTTTAAGAAAATCAAAACAAGATTTTTCTGAACGTTTTGCTGTGAAATGTAAAAATAAATAATGGTAGTAGTGATAGTGATAGTATTAAATGTGATATTAATGTCGACATGCATGTCAAACATGCACAGAATAATGACTACACCAACAATAGGGAACATAAATCATCAGTAGTGCTTCCATAGAGAGAAGGAACCCCAGGAACCTTACGCGGAATTCTTAACAAGGCAGGAATAAAAGTGGCTGGTATTCAAGCCCACAAATTCAGTTAGAAACAAGCTTTTTCGGTTAAAGGATCCCGTGGAGCCTTTAGAACAAAACAATTTAGTTTATCTAATATCCGGTTGGGATGATTGTCAGGTCAAATACATAGGTCGAACTAGTAGAACAGGGGAAGTCAGACTAGCTGAACATAAAAACCCAGCAAAATCTAGATTTCAGGATATCATCATGAGCTGACATTAGTTAGTGAACCATTGGAAAACCCGGGAGTACTGGACAGCCGTTTCGTCCTAGTTTGGGACTCTTCAGCAGTACGCACCCACCGGGATTCGAACCCAGGACCTTCCGGTTACAAGGCGAGCTCGTATACCATTAACCCACTGGGACCCGATCTAATGGTCCTTGAATTCCAACTTCTAGATTGGTTGACCCGAATAAAATAAGAAATGTAGAGAGTAGTTCAACTATAGCACCTCACTACATGCAGTTACACACAACCATACAATAGGACTGGACAAGATGACAATTTTGAAATCTAATGTCACAGGGTAGAGGGAGAGATTGATAACAGAAGCCTTGTTTATTGAATCAACTGGAAAACGTGTAGTGGGAATGATTCAATACCTGTCCCAGATATCTGGAAAATTCTACTACCCCTACGACAAATAGGAGAGGACAAAGAAAACCATAAAACTCAAGTTTCGAAGTCGTGTGATTATAATTGATATGGTTATGAACAATTAATTTTGTTCGAAACGTCATCCAGTAAATAATACTGTTTCATTGTGCGATATATCTAATAAACAAACTTATATGGAATTATCATTCTGCTTTAATTTCATTATACGTATACTAATGGATATAACTATTTAATTTGAGTGTTTTTGAGGGATCACCCTGTTCTCGGGGGATAATCTCATTCATCTGGATGATATTGTCTATTTAGGTGAAGGCACTGATAAAATGCAAAATCTTTTGAAGACTTTCAGCAAAAGTTGAATTATGTTTGGCGTGCTATCCTGCCTTGTCAGAGGTGTAAGATGATTATGCGAGATTGGTTTGAACAAACTTCTATTTTAGAACTAAAGTAAAATGGTTGAGCCTATCCGGAAACCTGCATCAGTCCTAATGAACAAAATCTCAGCACTTATAAAATAGGCTAAATTGTCACTTGCCAACTTGAATCTTCTTTGGCTAAGGCATGATATCCGGTTGTCCATCAATGTAGGTGTTCCTGTATAGCACTTCATCGCGTCCTTATTTATGGCTATAATACATGACTGTTGAAGGTGAAAGATATGAAGAGACAAGCCGTCCTTGACCATAGGTATCTGTGCTCTATCTCCCATGTTAAGTGGTATTATCTAATCAGTATTTGATTAAGTAAGGCGTAGAGTGTTAGGCAGAGAGGACAATTTAATCGATGAGCTAGTGAGACTCCATCAAATGAGATTGTCAGGACATATGTTTACGCATTGCCTTCCTCTTTGAATAATGTTAGCTGATATAAAACCAAGTTACAAAAGAGTTGAGCGTAGCCAGATCAAAGTAATAATATCAATCCATGAAATGTTTGATTGTTTGTTTGAGTCACGTAGGCAGATGTAGACTAACTATCTGAACTTCTTGAATGGTTAGTAGTGAGTGTTGGTGATATGGTTTAAAGTCGTTTGCTGTGACTTGGATATATTGACAACTTGTGTTTTTCTAGACTCTAAAAATGCATAAGAATTTCCATATAATCGTTTCTCCTCCCTTCCTCATCCCTCCCGTACATTTTAGTGTATTGTAGTTTCGTTGCATCTCTTTTCTTTGCTTTTATATGTGGTTTTTTGAAATGAGGCGGCTTGAACTGTAGTCATTTTCTCAAATTTCTAACTTATTAAGTCGATCAATCAGATTTGACCAATTAATCTTAGTTAGGATAACTAAATTTTCAACCTTAAGGTAATCAAGCAGTCATACTTGTCCACAAAGCATGAATTTCAGAATATGTGAAATAGCAAGCAACTGATGCGGTTTGATCTATTTAGCTTCTAAATTTTTAACATTCCCTAAAGACTACAAAAGAGAACAGTTGTTTTTTTATCTTTCTTTTCCTTAAAGAATATGAATTATATACATATATATTCAGCTGATGAGTCCCTTTAGTAGTCGTATATGTGGAATAAAGTATAAAAGTGCTTCTCTTCTCTTACATTATATACTCCTTCATTCAAGTGGTTGGTTGATTAAAAAAAATTAGAATTATATCGACTATTCATTCACTAATCAGAATAAATAGGCATCACTAACTTCATAATTTTCGCTTTCGCTGTGTGTGTGCGTGTCTGTGCATATCTTCATTCTAATAGTATTGGGTGCGGCAGTTGTCAGACATCCCAAGTTGTTGCATACATTACTATCATGTTGGTTTATTAATTACCCGAGGTCCTCGTAGGACAAGCTAAAAAATAATTTGTATGCAACTTTCATTTTTCTTAAGTTTGTACTCAGGACTTTATCGTAAATGATAATTATTAAACTCTACAATTAAGTTAACCTACTCGAAGAGCCAAATGCAAACAAAAATAACATTTTGAAATTACAAATATTCTCTAACATCAAGAGTTTGTTTGCAGAGATATGATTTGATCTATTTTTATTTTTTTTCACGTCACCCTGAGTTGAGTTTGTCTTAACATGTATACGTTATAAGCAAAAAAAAACAGTTGGAACGGAGAACATTTTTTTGAATGGGGTCATCAACTAGGCTGTACATTCGTGAATATGTAACAATGGGCTGAGAAAATAGTAGGACTATTTCGATAAGAATTTGAAATATAACAGGTAACAAAACGAACAAACAGTGATTAAGGACATAATTATAGAAAAAAATAAACAAGGAATTCAGATAAAAACATAATTGAATAATTATTTTTGTTGGGAAAACAAGACTGTTTATGATGGCCATGGTAAAGGCAAAGGTTGTGCGTACTTCCTTCAGATACGTGGCATTGTCCTGAATTTTCTGATTGTTAGTGCTTCAGCTATTCCCAGGTTTCTTGATTTTATTTCCCTTGAGAAATATGTTGGGATCATGTATAAAACCTTGAAAGATTTCTCAAATCAAACTGTGCACCCTGGATTCACGAGTTGTTCCTTTGTCAAACTATCGATACACTCGCACCCTCTATTAGACTGGATTGTGTTCCCGAGCGCGTTCTGCAAGCGGACGCTTTCTTTGGTTAATGTACTTCACTACATAGGAGCAAGTGAACTGGTGTATGCGCGTTGATGTAGTCGAATGTTGTAGTTTCTCGCAGAAGATTTAAAAATGGAAAGTAGTAACAATCTAGGTGGTCAGTCACATTTTGAAATATTATACACAGTTGAATTAGACGATAAATTAAATAAAAACGAATATTAAACGATATGAAGAATGAATAAGTGAATACAGATTCAGTAGAGGTGCATATGATTACAAAGACTACATAGTAGGAGAAATAAATTTGCGCCAATGTCTATCGATTTCCTCATCATATTAGTGAAAATGATAAATTAGTCAAGTTAATTCTGAGCGAAATAAATGAATTAGTTAAGATATCGTTCTACTAAATAGTTGTCAGAATATTCTTATCTAATGTTCAGCCCACACCAGAATATGTGACAAAAAATCTAATCAGAATATTTTAAAAACTCTTTTATCTGTTGATTGTTAATGTGACATGAGATCATTTTAGGACAGACAGTTAGTTAAATATTTTTATCTACCATGGCTTAAAGGCATAGCTTCATCCAATAAAATCTAGGGATTTAGGTAATTATTATTATTATTCTTTCCTTGTGTTTCGAGTGGAATACACAGCTTCAGGAGCACGTCTCCACTGCATTCTTCTCTGTAGTCATTTTCACCTGGCTCCATAATCGCCCACCAAGTTTAATTTCTCCACTTGCTTTTCTGACACCCAACTCACCTCTTCCCACCCACGTTGCATTCAAGGGCCCGACGTATGATGCCACTTAGAAGTCTCCTCAACGTATACTCAACCCACCTTCATTTTCTATATATTTGTTAAGTAGTAGGCTGTCAGCTAGTTCGCTGCCTGTTAGAGTTCCTTGTTGTTTATTCTCCCCGGTCTTTCTAAGTAATATTTATGTTGTCTTGTCCTCTGATTTTTGTGAATAACATTTCCTTGCTAGTGCCTCTTGGGAATATGGTAATTTGAGGTGGCGTACACCGGTTCTGCATTCTGTTTCGTGCGTCCAACTGAGATGTGGTGAAACTTCTCCATCATTAATTGAGTTTCGTATTACCTGTTGTATTTATTGGTACTGATGTTTTGACAATACAGTCTGTTATTTAATGTTTACGCCATGAAATAGACATACATTCTTTATCTTCATGTCTCTTTTTTTTACTTCGTCTTTCTTTGTGCTTAGGCTACTGGAGACTTATTATCTTCGTATTCACCTGGAACATTTAGACGAACGACTCGCCGCTTTACTGGGGCTTATGATCATTTTACTGATAAAGGCATTGAGTTATCAACCTGCAGTGAAATGTCATCAAGTAATCAGCCATGTGAACCAGTTGTAAACTCTGATCTGCTCAATGGACTTATCAATGTTTCAGACCAAAGTTATGTCTTAATGAATGAAGCTGGCAAAGTTTGTGCTCAACCTGAAGCAGAGAATTTAAGAGGGAAATTCCAGTCAGCAGCTCGGTAAAGTATTTTTTATTTCATTGTCATTTATTTTAAATATTTACATTAAACTACTGTTAATTTATGTACTTTCATTCATTGGGATTTAATTTTTTATGGCTGTGAATAATCTCAGTTGTTTTAATGAAGTAGTATGAGTGAACAGTTGTTTTTCTAACCTATAAGACCTTAGTAGTATATTATTTCATCACTTATTCGTCGGTAATGTATTGTGCCTGAGAATTAGAAGTGATGAAGATATAAGTTAATTTTTTATTTCATTCCTTGCATTCCGAGTAGAACATGTGCCTTCAAGCTTTGAAGTTTCAGTAACCGTGGTGTCGTTGCCTAACCTCACACCCAACCCTTCATCTTTTCCGGGCTCACCACCGTTTTGTGAAGTAGGCGAGGTTTAGAAGTACTCGGACCTTCGGCATGGTTGACAATGAAAACTACCATCGAACCACTGACGCATAACAGATAGTATAACATATCATTTATGAAGTTACAGGAAGAATTCAGTTTAAACAATCAGCGCTTAGACTTGTTGGTAAATATTTGTTTGAAACATTACCAGGTCTAACTACTTAAGTACGAAAGATCAAGCAATTTTTCTTCTATTTTCTTTTTCCTGTAATCCGTGATCGACTGACTGTCTTGCAAGATGACAATATTTATCCCCAATATTTTCATATACTGTATTATTGGTTTGTATTGTATCATATTTTCTACCTGAAATCATATATAATGTTGTCATCATTGCTTAAATGAGATATGAATTTTTCTTAAAAATCTTAATGATTATTTTTCAAGAGTTAATAATACCCACATAGTTTTCATATGACAGTAATGGCGATAATAATAATAATGGCATTCCTCTGTTTCTTGAAGTGAATTTTACAAATACCACGTCAATGCTAATTTGTTGATGTTGATTATTAAAAGTCATGGTTGTTAAATTGAGAAGAAGTAGTAGTTGGGCATAGCAATCAGTCTCCCTATTGTTTTTTTTGTCTTCATCTCCTTTGTTATCTTCATAAACTGAAATGTTCACCATGTTATATTTCATGTCTGTATTGATGTCTATAAATGTCTGTGTTTGTTATTTTCATCTGTTTACATTAAAAATAACTCTATCACTGTACAATAACATTAATAATCAAATGTGTCTAGACATTCTCTTTGCCTTACTGTTGTACTCTTTTTATCGGCTAATCTTTTACCTTTCTCTTAAATAGATAAGATCCCTCCTTGTAGACTTCTGATCCCCTTTTTACTATTTTATTTTCATTTAATTAATTCCTTCGATAAACTTACCATTTATTGTTAATCCTTCACTTTTACTATATCGTCTTTAAGATTAAATTTATTTGTTTCTATTATAGTTTAGATTACGTAATCCTGTTATTTGTTTCCTAAGTCTCTATCGATGATAGAGATATGATAACTAGCCGTCAAAAGACATGATATCCGCTCCCTCATATCACTACATACAGACAACCACGGACATCAATTCGACTTGGACAACGTTCAAATATTAGACAGAGGAAACAACAAGAATGCTACAGAAGTTTTAGAAGCTTAGCATTCCAGTGAATCATCAGTCAACACACACATCGAGATAGACAAAATTTATCAACCGATAAAAAAGAAACCTCACACACACAAAGGGTCAGAGTTCAAGTCAAAGAAACAATCAGTTCAAATAGAAGTAACCTTGTGAAAACACACAAAAACAACTAATCACGTCTAAAGTCACCAGGAGAGAGGATTAATAAACTCGTGGAGAAATCTAAAAGCTCACTTCAAATTGAAGTATACGCTAAAAATGTCGCCTAGTAGGGCAATGAAAGCTTCGCAAATTAACCATCCAGCTCCGAGAACACAACCGCATATCCAATTCATTCCCACTAGTCTTATCATCACATTTCTCAATTATTCATCATTGCTGTTATTAGTATTATTATTATTGTTATTGAAATTACTGTTGTTGGCGTTTGAAAAGACGAGCAGATTTGATTCTCAATGGGAACACTGTCACTCAATAAGAATGCAGGTACATCCAGCTAACGAGTTCGAAAATGGACTTAGAGCATATGCTGTATTATACTGTTGACTAGCATCAACTAAATCATTATAATAGTACTATTATTATTATGAAGTGCACAGTTTATAGCCACGTTATCATCCTATTGACAAACTACAACGATTGTTTTACACGTAATGTTTATATAGAACATAACGAAGCCTGAAAAAATCTAGTTAAAAACAATGTTGTTTGCTTACATGCTCTGTTCTAAATTTTACTGTATATCCCTCTTTAATATTGTAAAAATGTTCACTAGTTAATTCTCTTAACTGGTAGAATGATTATCAACCGCGTACGTGTCCATGCTGTCCTAAACCCCGCCTAATTTACTAGATGGTGGTATGCCCGGAAAAGAGGGAAGATTGGGCGTGGAGCTAGCAATCCTGTTCCGTAAAAACAACACTACATCTGCTGAAACTTTAAAATTGGAAGGTGTATGTTCCGCACAGTACTCAAAGAATATATATATGTATATGTGTCTAAGTCAGAAATTAGTGAGTGTGTGATCAGTTATGAAACAGTTAGCTTGTAGTATTTCTATTTATAAATTACCGTCAATAATTACTCATGAATATTGTCGTTATTATCAATTTTGAGATAGTATTTATTAAAGGATCATTGAAGTTAGCGCTGAAAATGTTGTCTAGAATGATGATGAAAGCTTTGCAAGTGAAGCTGTTTAGCTCAAATTTAGGATATAAGCAAAACTTTTGTAGTAGCGTTTACTTGTTAATAATGTTTTTATGACAATTGACTTTATAACAGCTGTTTTTTCTCTTCAATAATGTGTATTTCTTATAATAAAGGTTTTTGTATTTCCCAATGAATGAAAAACAAAGCGATATTGTTTTTACTGACGTTTTGCTTTTTAATGCTAATATTTTTATCAAAGTATTATTTGTATTTCTGTTTAAAATTCACATTTACTTTATAGATTGCCTTTTTTCTCTCTCCTCTGTTCACTTCCTTTTTCTTGTCTAATCTAGAGATGTCACAGAAAGTATAAGTCAGTTATTAACAATTTGCACTTCAAGTGTAAGTCCTGATCAACGAGAATGTGAAGCGGCACTTCGACGCTTAGAAACACTGCGTCCATTATTGCAAAATCCTAACAGACCACTAAATCAGCATAGTTATTATGATTGTGTAGATGCTGTTGCTAAAAGTTTAGAGGTAAATGAAAACTATTATCAGTCATTTCTGTATTCAATGTACATGTGTAATTATTATTTTTTTTTTTTGATTTACAGCTTGATTCCACACTGTATTTTCGGTACAAGTATGGAATTTTCAGCATGGATATCGGTAGCCCAAATTTTGCAGGCCGACCATAGATATCAGATGTGCGTCGGTGCGGGCTCGAACCCCGGACCATGTGCATGGTCGGCGAGAGTCCTAACCACTGTGCCACCGACGCATCAGTGAATGCATATTCACTCTGTATAATTCTTGTTTGTTCTGTTGTTTCGGGGAATAGTAAATATTTCATGCAACAGAATTATTTTTGTTGAACCCAACCTTTTTCTATTCAAATAATGCAGTAAAAATTTCTCTGTTTGGTATGTCTAACTAAGAAGTTCAGCTGTGAATTTTTTTTTATTCCTTCACGTTCCCAGTGGAACATAGGACTTCAAGCTAGAGGCATGAAGTTTCTGTGGAAGTGTTTATTTTTACAGGATGGAGTTGCTAGCCTCATGCCTAACCTTTCCTCTTTACCAGGATTATTTCTGGCTTAGGGAGGTAAAGCAGTGCACCGACCGGGGATCGAACCCCGGGCCATGTGCATGGTCGGTGAGCGTCCTAACCGCTATGCCACCGACGCACTGTACTGAATTCACGGACTCTATCCTAGTAGCAGAAAGGTTAACGAGTTTACCTTGTAACTTGAAGGTTATGGTTCAGATCCTCCTTGCAGTTGTTGGCTCACACAGCTGAAGAACCCCATCCTAGCACAAAACAAATATTTTCACCGCTCCATCTTTTTCGGGTGATTCTTTTATTTCGATTCACGACGAAATCTACATAGGAACATTATTTTAATGATGCACATCTATCGTCTTAAACTTATATGACTCCTGTTGGTAACTGCATGTTTTTATGACGGTCTAAGGGCTCTACGACAGAAATGACAGGAAACAGTCAAATCTAAATTCTGCATGCCTGTTTGAGGTTTTCAACTAGTTTATACGTCATTTAATTAGTATATCTTTTTCCTGAACAGTTTCATGTTACTCATGAGTAACTTATTTGCCTTGTCCGTCAAAAAAAAACCATTAACACTTCAGTGAGAAGAGGAAAAACTGGCGTCACTTCATCAGAGTCCACTTAGGAAATGATTTTCCGCTTGTATTGTGCTACCAAGTCTGTTTATTTGGAAATCCGGACTTCTATCCTTATACACAGACTACATAGACTTAAAATGTGAACCTTTTACAGTATACAGCACAACTGATAGCAATGGTCGACCTGCTAAATTTGGGCTACCGATATCACATGCTGAAAATTCCATAGTTGTACTGTGTGGAATCAAGCTATAATAAAGAAATCAAAAAATATAACATTTACAGGTTAATGTAATAATTTAAAATTTTATTATTCACTTATTCATGTTATTAAATTTGTTTCTTTCAATAATTTGAAGCCATTGGCGGAAAGTCTAAGATCAATGTCTACATCAGCTCGAGAACAAAAATCTAATGAATTCAATTATGCTGTGCGTCAATGTGCTAATTCTGTTTGTCAGTTGGTTGAAGAAACTGCTCAGGTATGCTTTTCAGTGTTATTTTGTAAGAAAAAGCTATATAAATTAACAAAATATAATATACTTGATTTATGATATGCTTCATGCCACTCACTATTCCCAATGGAATTCACTTGAATATCTAACCGCTCACATTTCCCAAAGAATCCCAAGACTACAATCCACCGGAGATGTTAATGGTGAGATTTCATTACAACGTCTGAGAAGAGCTTTCAAAGAGACTTTTAACGTATCTAAGTTATACTATTTATTCACCAGTCAACCAATTCTTAATTCACGGAGTAAAGACAAACTGTGTAATTTCACCTCCTCCATGTGTATTTATCAGTTTAGCTGCTTCCATTGAGCATACGGTTAAGTAAATTTCCATAACAGAATTTCCGAACATCACCTATTTTGGTCAGGCAAAGGATCAAATGAAGCGGTGTCCAGCCCCATACTAGCTTATCTCGTTGATACAGAACATCAAGTTGACACTAACAAAGCTTTTAAAGTTATTTATCACATTTTACCCAACCTCACAAATGCTCTACGAGCATACGCATACATATGACAGAAGCAGTTGGAATTGATCTAAACAAGCAGAATCTGTGTGTTCGAAAGAAATCTGAACAGCTCCTTTCTTTGTCGTTCATGTAATATGTATACAGTCTTACAAATGACAACTTCTATTGCGTCGGTGGCACAGTGGTTAGGACTCTCGCCGATTATGGACATGGTCCGGGTTTCCATCCCCTGCCGACGCACACCTCATATCTATGGTCGGCCTGCAAAATTTGGGCTACCGATATCCATGCTGAAAATTCCATACTTGTACCGAAAATACGGTGTGGCATCAAGCTGTAATCAAAATAAAAAATAAATAACAGTCACATGACGTTGTTATTTTGTTATGATTATTTTTCTAGTTAATTTAATTGACTTATTTGTTTCATGGTATTTTAATGTAGTTCATTCATCTGTTCATCCTAGTTATTATTATTTTACAAATTATTGATTTTGTAGTAGATTGTTACTAACCTCTAGATATTAACCGATCTTGAATCGCGTAATTACTTTTCCCCGTTTTGCACCGTAAAACTGATCATTCTTATTAACTGCCATAACCACTGGATTAGTATAAAACTATATATCTATATGCATTAGTGTAGAGTTGGTGATGAGGAACAAACTAATTAGTTTATTTAGCACCAATTACTGATTGTGAGGTCTGATCATTCGGTTGGTGGGTTGAATTCAACTATTGGAGTAGAGAAACTTGGCAAATCAAGATTTGTAGAAATTCAGAAAGAAACCCAGCTATAACATTACAAATATTCACACATTAGATATGATAGAGAAGATCCAGCTCAGAGAACAAAACCACATCAAAATTCACACATTACCATACAATAGAACAAAATCTAACTCAATAGAATAGAACCAGAGAGTAAAAACTGAAGTCCTGTTTATACTATAAAAATGACTCAAAATCTGTTCCAGTTATCTTCAAAACTCAACTCTCTTCCCATAATTAATAAGGAAAGACGAAGAAGAATAAGACTTAAAACTATAAAAATAAAGTTACAAATAATATAGCTGTGAAATATCAGTTATTCTGGAAACGTTATCCAGTAAATAATACTGTGTCAATATGGATACATTCAACAAAGAAATGATTATGTTGAATAACATTGTCCATGTTCTTCCTTTACATTACTACAATGTCTTAATTTTGCTCTTACTGAATAATAATATTATAATACATTATAGATTAGTAGTATTACTATTATTGAATAATTCAGGACAACACTCATTATCAATTGTACCAGATTAAATTATGCTAGCTGATGACACAAATTCATCTTATGTACTATGTTCAGGTCATTTTCATCCCATTGACTTTATTCCCCTGAATTAATCTGTTTATCATAATCATCCAAACATTGACATGTGTGTCATGATAGATAGACAGATGTGACTCCTTGGGGTGTATGGATGTTTTATGCGTATACAATGTGACCTTTGTATAACAGTAAGGCAGATTTACATAAAAATAAAAATATAAACTTGTAATGACAATTCAGTTACATCAATGTTACAATCTTAACAATCAACATCTGGATATCCTCCTTATCTGGGAATTATTAAATATAAACTGAAGTCATTTATTAAGAGGCTTGCCTACTTTTTCATGTTTTCCGAAGAAAATAACACCATGATAGTGAAAATGTATACTGTTTTGTTGTTGCCATTGTGTCATTCGAAATTCTACTTCCCGTTGAAATTAAAGTTTAAACATAACTAACCAGAAGCTACCATTTGCTTAGTCAATTATTTACACAGTAGATTGATATATCTGCGTTCTTCATCTGATAGACATTTCCCCTTAAGTTAGAATAGGAATGCAATCTAATATATATGATTTTAACAAATCCATCTCATAGCTCAGGTAGAAGAGCTCGGGGCTAATAAACAGGAGTCCTGTGGTTCATCACCCGGATTTTTTATTTCATCAATCATCACAATTAAGTCAATAAGCGGTCTGTCAGTCAAAGGCCATCTCAGTCATCAAGGTGACTTTCCCCTACATTTCGTGTTCGTTGATATTCATCAACCGGATGCTTCTACTATATTCATTGATATATTGATCTTTTTCTTCCAAAAGTTGGATACTGTATCACATAGAAATATGAGTAAGTGTAGTTAAAAAACGAACTCAATGTAATGATCAGTTCTTGTACAAGCGAAATTCCCCTTTAATGGTTTAATGGTTCATCAGGCTGGTGGATAACGCTTCGACAGTTGAAACGATGAGTGTCGCATTCTAGCTCCAGTGGGAACACCATCATTCACAGGGTTGCAGGTATATCCAGCTGACAAGTCTCAAACAGAGTGAAGCATATGTCTTGTTTCCCACTGATTAAGCATCATCAATTAAATAGTATGATAATCAGTTACTGAATAGTAATCAGTAGTATCATGAAGTCAAATGTTTCTTAATTTCAACTGTTTTATTGATATTGGCTATTAAATTATTTATAGCTATCTGTAACATATGATAGTTTATACTATATGGGACACATAAATGTAATCTTTATGTCAGTGATGTTAAACGGAGAAACGAAGAGATGGACAGACAAGGTAATCCAAACTCAAGTACCACGTAAAACTGTAGTGAGTGAAGTTACCCTTACTTCATAACACTTCGGAAAAATAAAAACAATGATATTCTAATTAGAATCAAAGTAATAGATATCCTCATAGTCAGTTCCACATATCATTCTCCAACTTAACGGGAAGGTATCTATTTGAAGGGAAAATATTAGTTAACATTAAGTGTGTATAGAAGACAGATTCCCTACTTATTTATGATTTCATTCCTATATAAAACAGAATCCCGCATCCTTTCCTCTTTTTTGTAAATAAAATAATATTAATGCTTTTTATCTCATTTTTGTTGAAAATGAATTACAGGCTGCATATTTAATTGGATTAGCTGACCGTTATGAGAATAAAAGAGAAATCAGTACGGGTGGTGATAATACTGGCTCACTGGTAGATTTAGACTTGTTCATTCAAAGCCAAAAAGAAATACAAAGTGCTTGTGATGCTATATGCGAACCAAATGTGAATAATCGTCAAGTAAGCATGATGCCTGTCTACGAAGATAATTAATGCATACTTTCTATCTCATTGTAGCTATATATCTCTTGGCATATATATATATATAAGTTGTCAAAAGTCGGCAAAAGGAAGAGAATGAAGATGGAGAGCCGTGCCACCTACATCTGCAAGGTCCTACGCTAAAAGTGCCCGGATAATGGCCATTCATCTGAAGCCATGTCTTTAGTGAACTCTTTAGTCAGTGATATATTCAGCCGAATCCCAGTTGAAGCTAACAGGTTTATCTATCTATAAAAATATTCCCACCATCTAAAGCCGAGAATTTTAAGTGGTTCATCGTCTGTTGATGCCTGATAACTTTCATAGACATTCTATGTCTGAAGGGACGAAGGCTTTAATGGTCTACACAGGGTTACCAATAATGTATGGACGTTACCATATTTTAAAAAACATTTTTTGTTAATTATTTCTCTACTAGAAATCATAACATTATGTAAATATTTATCTCCGTAATTATTTATTTTAAATTGTTTGTTAACTGTAACACGGTGATTTAATGCTTTAAACCATCTGTTTTATTTGACTGAGTTATATTAGTCGTAATATCTATCTGTTTCATAAAGTTCAGTTAGGCGTTTAGTACAGTCCATTCATGAATTAGCGCATGAAAATGTATGCTGTTGTTGAACTTTAGCCATTCATTTACATCTTTGATGTGATAGTTAATGTCATTGAATTTCTTCTAGTAACTGCACTACAGCATATATATGATTCTGTATAAGAAAAGAGATACATTTTTTTCTGAAAGACGAAATATACAAAGAAATTGATTCACTGTTAATTCGTAGACTTATTATACAATTCATTTCAACCTATCAGCTTTTATTGTAGATATGAGCATATGACAAGAAGAATGGAGAATAGTTAGGCAAAGCTGATAAATTGAACAAATATTTTGGACTGATTTAGGCTCATTGGAGAGAAAAAAATTTACATTCGAGATAGATCTTGTGGGAAATCAATAAATGCCATTATAATTAAAAGACTGCTGAAGTGTATAATGCAATTTAAGGCACCGAAACTACTAGACATATTGTTTTACTAGCTTGCTATTATGTGAATGAAACACTGTACTATACTGCACACTTTATTGATTTATCTCTTACATATTCTTACATAATATTTCATTTTTATTGATAGGTAATTGCTCTGTCAACTGAAATGGCGCGTAGTGCAAAAACGTTATGTGAAGCTTGTAGTCAGGTATCAAATCAGACTACCAATCCTGAGGCTAGACAACATTTGAATAATCTTACTAAACAGACTATGCAGTCAATTACATCGCTTATTCAACATCGTGGTAGCACTGTAGCTTCTGATATCAATGGTGAATGGACTGAATCGAATCGTCAGCAAACATGGGCAAATGCACAAGCCGTTAGTGCTAATGTTGCTAATTTGGTTAAACTGGTAACAACTGAACCACAATTTGCTGATTTGATAACAACACAAAGGAAAATTACTACTACAACTAAAGCGGTAATTTTTTCTCATCTAACTTTTCGATCATATTTGCCTCCCTGAAATAACGGATAATCATATGTTTGAAGGAAGCTTTCACTTGTGATGTGTCAATTAGGTTCTACATAAATCTTTAGACAAACTCAAATATTGAAGTTATTTTGGGATGATTACAGTTCATTTTCTAATGTTTACATAATAACCAATCGGTTTATTTAGTAACCATTTTGCTAAAACTAGGTGGCAGTGCTCAGCAGTTCGTTCTTTTCTGCCTGTGACATGACGGCTGGAAATAGAAGATATAAAAATATTGAAGGTTTTCGATATTATTTGTTTACTTAAGGTTAAGGTTATTGATAAATATGGTTAGGATATTGTGAGTCGGTGACACAGCGGTAGAATGCTCACCAACCAGCCACGAAGGTGGCTCGGGGTTCGATCTCCGGCCGACACACCCCTTCACTTCACTAAGGCAGTAATAAGACTGGTAAAGAGGGAAAGTCAGACATGAGGCTAGCAACCCCATTCCGTAAAAGTAATAAATACCACTGCTGGTGATACTTCCAAGCTCTAGCTTGAAGCCCTATATTCCATTGGGAACGTAAAGGAATAAAATAAAATAGTAAATAAATAATGGTTAGGATGTGTCGAGCGTGATGAGCTAAGTTAACTGAAGCAGAATTAGGTCAGAAATAAGTAAGTGTTGATCAGACCAAAATATGACACCGATTCATAACGTGTATGATTTTTGATCTGAGAGATGAATGTAATTGTCTGGATAGAGTACTCATTGTGTATAATAAATTCAGCAATCGTAGACTACCTGTAATATGACCTTGAATCATTTGTTTTGGTACAGATATATTCTTTCCTTGTCATTTTTTCAAACTTTAACCCCTGTTGCTAAACTTTATCCCATTATTTTCTCTCCTCCTCCATTTATATTGTTCATAGTCGTTTACTCCTTTCCTATGGCTAACTGAACCTATAATAATATTAACTGAATTCTATACTTTCCTGTTTCTATAATGATGTTTTGCCGAGTAAAGTATTAACGAATCACTCTGTTAATAATATGCTGAGTCACCGCCTTCCTCAACGAATAATGTTAAATGATATAGGATTAAATTAGAAAAGAGTTAGAAGCGGTCAGTCAGTAACATGCCACTGGTCTATGATACCTCCGACTGTTTGTTTTAGCCATATAGAGTGGTGTAGAATGGCTTCGTTTGGGTCCTGGTAATATTAAGAAGTAATGATTGTTGACGCTTGGTGATATGGCCCGAAATCGTTCTTATTGGTGTAGATAAATTTACTCTTTGTAATCTGCTGAATTCATCTAGTCATTCTTTCTCGTGTACTTTTTCCTGCATCATAGTTTCAAGGCATCTGGTTTCCCCGCCTTTATGCATACTTTTTTTATGATATGAAAAATTGAACTGCTACACTTCTGTGCAAATCTCTAGTTTAGTCCATTTATAGTTTTCAATTCACAATTATTTAACATGTTGATGCTTACTCTATGGTGTAGCATTTGTGTTTTCCGAAAGTACTTGAATCTAATTCTTCATATTTTTTTTACATATACTAATAGGCTCAACGTCCTGTTTGTATAGCTGGCCTTGAAAGTTTGAATGCTACACAAACTGTGCTACGATCAGCTCAAAATTTACTGTCCACATCAAAAACGGGACCATCAGAAAATAGTTTTATGGCTTTCTCGATAGCTAGTAAAGATCTTTCTAATAGTATTAAGATGTTGGCCACTGCTATGCGGTAAGTTGTTACTTCATGCATAAGTTGTTAATTTGCATATTTTTTCAGTGAAAATAACTTTTTATTCTGCAATTTCATTCGTTTATTTCTCTGCACAATAATAGTGGTTATTATTATTACTAATATTCCTTTTCGCCAGAAGAAAGAATGTTGTTTTTATTTATTTATGAATGGTGTTTTCTGTGGTTCGATGATAGAATGTTCTCCAAACACGCGGGAAATCCAGATACGACTCCGAGCCAACGCAGTCCTGATCCTCGTTTAGTTGACTATTCAATAGTAAACTTGGGAAAGAGGGAAAGTTGATAGTGAGGGTAACAATTTAACCCAGGGAAAACAGCACTATGGTTACTGAAATTCCGAAGCTGGATATCTTATGTTCCACTCGGAATGCCAAGGAATGAGAACATAAATTGACATTTTTTGTTTTGTTTTAATACATCTAAATGAATTTTTGATAAAAAGTTTCCTAATACGTTGGTAAATACTCTCAGTTTAGGTTGTAAGTGCGCCGTTAGTTCCGTTTCTGCACAGTGTAGCACTGAAAATTACGTCCATACTGGAACTAAAATCTATCTAGATGTCTAAAGCGGCTGGAATAGATGTTTCTTTGTCTAACTTATAAGTATTCATCAATTTCGTGTAAAACTGAAGTGAAAGTTATTACTTTAAAAAAATAATAAACTAAACACCCGAAAGTCATTCCGTTTTATGGTTCGTTGTAGGATTCGAACAGGGTAGCCTCCGGACTATTAGCTTTGGTTCTATACTAGCTGAGTTAAGGCACCCAGATGCCAACCAGCCTATCATTTAACTTCAGTCGTTATAAATGATGCCCAGCTGTTATATAAATGAAGGATGTGTAACTATGCGTTAATTACCGCCACACTAGGTGCCCAACGCAGTCTTCTTCTCCGATTCCTAACTTTGTTTTAGATTCTCTCTATTTCCATCCAGTTATTCATTTTCGATCTTACAAATGAAACCCAGTTAACTGGTTTATAAGAAATTAACAGACTTTAAAGAATATTTATTGTATTCTGACTGCGGACAATATTTGCATGTTATCAAAACTTGCTTACATACTCTCAGATGCTTACCCCATTGGTTCACTGTTTTAACAACCAAGAATATGGTAGTTGTTTATTTTTCAAACACAGCTGTTTGGCTGTTCTTATTCGTTTTGTATAGGATGAAATTTTAAGCATTTGTTTGCAAAAAATTTTATTAAAAAGCAATTGATAACTTTTATTTCAATAGTGAAAGCGCTCCTGGTCAACGTGAATGTCAGAGTGTTTTTAATAATATTAAAAAGTTACTGCATGAACTACAAGATGCTCGTATCGCTAGTATGGAGAACAGACTACCTCCAAGACGTGAACTAAACGAAGAAGGTTTCCAAAGAGTAAGTGTTAATAATAGTCAGTAACATGCAGTATATGTATATTTTTCTCTCCATTTTTGTCTGATTTGTTTTAATAATAATTTGAATAGTAATTTTAACAAGGTACTCACAATTCGCTAACCAGTGTATGGATTCGTCAGACTGATACTTTTTTGGTTGGTTGGAGGATTTCAACATGAGCTGACATTGGTTAGAGAACCATTGGAAGACCTTAGAATACTGGACAGTCAACTGTTTCACCAGCCTAGTTGGGGACTATTCATCAGTACGCACGTCCCGGCTACAAGGCGAGCTCGTAGACCATTAGGTCACTGGGACCAGATCCAATGACCCATGAATTCTAACTTCCACCAATTCACAACATAGCGCGACCACTTCGCAATGTTTTCGACGAGTAGCTGTCCTCACATTCAACCTAATGTACCCTACTGGTCACAGCTCCCCACAAGAACCCCAGATAACTCCCTCAATATGACGAGTCGCTAGTCAGCATTCAACCGACTCATTGATCAGTTATTGAAGGAACTAAGATGGAATTTTACACGGTCTCAATAATTAAACCTGAGCCCAATGCTTGGTCGGTGTTCATTGGGTGAGTAATGATAAAGGATACCAAAATAGGACGAAATTTCTGCCCAGTATCCCAGTTGCAGCTTTCAATCAATCTCTAACTGATGCTAGTTTGTGACTATGCATACTTTGAAAGTGATCACATTTCCACAAACCCAACCCCATTATTTTGTATCTGTTCGAAGTTTAGTAACTGGATGACTTAATATATATGCACTAGAATCTACAACTAACTGGTGATACGTAAAATCTCGAGAAAGTAAGCCATCAGCTGTTGTAGATATGCTTATGTTATTCAGACTAAAAGTTATTGACATCATGGTGTCACGTTTTACATAGGAATTATGACAACAATATTAAGATTACACTTTGATGGAGTTTAAAATGTTAATAATAAAGTTTGCATCGGTGGCATAGCGGTTAGGACGCTCGCCGACCATGCACATGGTCCGGGGTTCGATCCCCGGCCGACACACTCCTTTACCTCGCTAAGCCAGAAATAATCCTGGTAAAGAGGAAAGGTTGGGCATGAGGCCAGCAATCCCATCCTGTAAAACAAACACTGCCACAGAAACTTCAAGCCACTAGCCTGAAGTCCTATGTTCCACTGGGGAACGTGAAGGAAAGAAAAAAATAATAATTAAGTTTGACAGTCAACAAGTTATTAAAAGAAAAGAAGGCGTTCAGCGAAGAGACTCTTTTCGGCGAATTCATTCACTGAGCTGTACAATCGCATATATATACAATTTTGTTTGTGTGTGTGTACATTAGATTTATAAAGTTTAGATAATTATGTAATGTAAGTATTATTTGGCTTGGAGACAAACGTTAAGATAGAAAATAAAATAGAATTGATTAAGTGAATTGGATGACGTAATACAGTTGAGTAGAATTCAGAGTAGGTCAGGTTGGCAACAGTGTTAATGAGTGGTGGTTAAAATTAAATAAGGGTGGGGTTAGAGAATAATACAGTTGAAAATAAGTAAGTTAATCGGATGACGTAACATAGTTGACTAGAAATTGGACGTGGGTCAAGTTAGCAACATTGTTAATGAGGGTAGAAATTACAAAAGGGTGGGGTAGAGAATAATATAAATGAAGATGTGAAATAATAAAATGCAAAAGACAAAATAATACAATTAGTAAGACTGAAATTAAGAAAGATTACGTCCATTGTAGATTTAATGAATGAACGAATTTCTTTTGTATGCAGAGTTCAGGATTTAGCAGATGAATTGCCATTGCTTCTGCGATGTGGAGAAGTTTGATCCGTACACTTTTAGCAAGATTGCCTTGTATTCTGTAGATAACTTTGAAGTTTATTTCTGGTTTGACTTGGTGTCCAGAGTCGATCAAATGTTCAAGGATCGAGCTGCGGGGGCATCGGTTTTCTCCTTTATAAAACCATGAAGGTAAATGTTCGTTGACGCGTTTGGATAGCGAACGCTGAGTACGGCCGATATACCTGGCTCCACACGAGCAGGTGAATTGGTAGATGCACATAGATGAGGCCAACAGCGGTAGCTTATCCTTCACGTTCATACGAATCATTGGTCTCGTGGAGAACGTCAGTCGTAACTCAGCTGCAGGGAAGGTTTTCTTCAATGAGCGGGAGAGCCGATTTCTCAGTATTTCTGTAGATTGGTCTCCATTGAACTGTAGGTTCATGTAGAGAAGTCTTTTTGGAGCACTGGGTGTTGGCGGCTTCTCTGGTCTGGGTTTCATTGATTTTGTGATAAATCTTTCTGGATAGCCATTTTCAAGGAGGATTTTCTTAAGAGTGTTCATTTCGTCTTCTATGGCATCCAGGCTGCAAATTCTACGTATTCTGTGGCTTAGTGAACGGATTAAGTTTCGTTTAGTATATAGAGGCACCCAACTGTGGAAGTTAGTGAGCTGTCCGTTCCACGTTGGCTTTCTGTAGATGGATCTTTTTAATGTTCCGTCTTGTTGGCGTCTCGTTAGTTGAACGTCAAGAAAAGATATCTTTGAGTTAGACTCTTTCTCTAGTGTGAACTGAATCGCAGGGTGGCAGTTGTTGAAGAACTTCAGGATATCTTCTAAATTCTCTTCGTTGTTGCAGATGATGAAGGTGTCGTCGACGTATCTCTTGTAGAGTTCAAAGTTGTCAATCATATTCTTTAGGCAAGTGTTTTCGAGTTTCGACATAAAGAAATCCGCAAGCAGAGGGCCTAGTGGTGAGCCCATAGCTATACCATCCTTTTGACGATATATTTCATTGTTAAAGGAGAACTGGACGTTTAGGGTGCATCTCAGCAGAAGTTCTTTTAGGTAGTCGGTGGGTATGCCGATGTTTACTCCTTCTGAGTGGATGAGCTCGCATATGTGACAAATTGTTTCAGTTAGTGGAACATTTGTAAACAATGAGACAGCATCTAGTGAGATCATCGTTTGATTAGAAACATTGACGTTTTCGACGCAGTTGACGAATTCAAATGAATCTCGCACTGAGTGACGGGAGACTTGTTTTCTGATTGGTTCAAGTAAGTCTGCTAGCCATTGGGCAGTGCGGTGGTAAGGTGAATTAGTCATGTCGAGGATCGGTCGAAGTGGAGTGCCCATCTTGTGTACTTTAGGAAGTCCGTAGAGTCTTGGTATATTTGAACCAGATGGTCTCAGGGATTCAAACGTTTCGTTGGTAATGAAGGATTCGTTCTTTAGTTTACGGAGGATGTCTGTTAGTTTTTGTTCAATCTGCTCCGTCATGTTTTTCTCGTTGGCCGGTTTGGTGAATTGTTATTAAATAATACTCTGAACTGCATGGAAAATTATGGAACTCTAGGACTGACTGTCTTTGAAGCGGAAGAAATGAATGTTGTCGTGTTAGTTATAAACCAACCAGTTGTTTGAAATTCTATATAAAAGTTTTCAAAGTTGTTTTCATTTTAGATAAAATCTTGACATGATTCAGTTTTACTTTATTTTTCTTTCTGACCTTTTATAATCAGTCGATTAAGTAGTGACTGACAGTTGATTGGAAAACACGGATAAATGAAACCTGCCTTAAAAATTACCTATATGATTATGCAATAGGCAGTAGATCTTACACATATTGTGTTGAGGATTGTTGATAGAGATACTACCTGTAGGTGAAATTAAACTGGAGTTCTTTACCCACTACTTAGAAATGGAGTGTTCAGAACCGATAAACCGCAAACTTTCCGTATTATCATACAAAATGAATGAAATTTTACAGTGTTATTATATTAGACGATTTAAAGTTTGTTTGCAAAATAAGACCAAAAAAAATATCAATGAGATGCTCACTGGCGACTGGCCCTATTCAGGTAGGTAGTTACCTGGGGTTCTAGTGGGAAGTCGTGACCAGTAGGGTGCAACAGGTCGGGTGTGAGGACAAATACTCGCCGAAGACATTGGCTAGCGGTTGCACTGTATCATGAATTGGCAGAAGTTAGAATCCATGGGCCATTGGATCGGGTCCCAGTGGCTTAATGGTCTACTAGCTCGCCTTGTAACCAGAAAGCCCTGGGTTCGAACCTCCTCCCGAGGTGGGGTGCGTACCGATGAAGAGTCCCAAACTGGGACGAAATAGCTGTCCACTACCCCCTGCAGATTTTCTAATGGTTCTCTAACCGATTTCAGCTCATGATGAAATCCTGTAACCAAAAAAATGTATTTAGAGGTGGTGATATTCAAAAGATGTGAACTGGTAATTTTCAGAATTACTGTATCCCTAATCATTCACCTTGAGATTTAACTATTAGCTGGATTTCAACTTTGTTTTAATAATAATAATAAATAAACAAATAACGATGTAGAATTTAAATAATCTAATTTATACCAGGAAATTAATTAGTATAACACTGGAAATTTGTAGAAGTAATAATTATACTAATAATTATCATCGTTATGCACCATATCAATGAGTGGATTAGTTAAAATCTCTATGATCTGTTGAATTACACTAATAATGGAGGAAGTAAATAATTGGTCATTAATTAGTTAATTAGTATTTATGGATTTAATTTCTCATGTGGAAGTATTCTGTATCATTTGAAAAATTTTGCTGATGATATTGTATGTTGTGTGTTGCTGTATTTATTCGACTGTCATTCATAGTGGAGTTTATTTTAATATCTCATCTTTCATTTACAATGATGGTGTCTAGTAGTGGACGGAATTAAGAGGTGCGTTTCACCCTGTCCGGGACTCTTTAGCTGGATGTAACTGTATCTCCAGTGGGTGATAGGGTTCCCACTGGGACTAGAACCAAGTACCTATCGTTTCAAACACTAAAGCGTTAACCAGTAGTGTAAACGCGCCCCCTGGAATCCATTTCTAGACACCATCAACCAAGAAATATATCTCATAGCATCGTCTAACAGTCCACAGTAAGAGCTGATACGGTAAAAGAGACCTAGTCTTTCGGTACAGTATTATAATCGATCACCAGGAAGTTTGAAATAACTTCACGAAATAAGAGTTACACGTGTTTTTTCCCTTGTGCAATAGGGGTTTTCATCAGATGGAGAGAAATTTCCACATGTAACCGTTTATTTTCACTATACAACTAACTTTGTTTCTCTATCTCTGTAGTGAGGTTTATGCATGATCAGCTAAACGATTAAGTCTGTCCAAGCATATGTATTTATCTACGTAAATGAAAACTTTATGAGTGAAAGTGGGTTTCTTCTAATGTTTTTAAATACTTACATTTTTTTTATTACACTTATTTTCAGCAATTAGCTACTAGTGTTCGCGCCTTACTAGATTCTGCACCGACAGTTGGACGTGCAGCTTCATCTGAAGCAGAACAACTTGGGAGAACTATACTGACATGGGATTCTTATCTTCCTGGTTTGGTATCTGGTTCTATAGCAGCTGCATCGCGTTCTCCTTTACCTAGTACACAACTAGTCTATTTGGATCATGCATCCGCTGTCTTAGAGGCTGCAAGTCAACTTGTTACTGTCGCTAAAGATTCTGGAGGAAACCCAAGAGTAAGTAGTATTATACTTCTTGTTTGTGATGTTTATTTTAATCTATCTTCATACTATATATATATATATTCTTATCTCTATTACCTTTCATTTCTTTTCCTGTCCATGCTTAGGCTGTTCATCTTCGTGATAGCTTGAATGAATCTGTTCGTGGCTTGGTGGTTTCTTGTGAAGAATTTTTAACTGTTCTAGATGATGTAGCTTCTCGTCAAGGTCATGTGAGCACTCTAATCGATACTTTGAGTCGTGCCCAAGCACAGGTATGTGTTAATGATTGCAATGAATGAAAGGTCTATTTATTATGTACTTTCTAAATGCTAGATATTATACAGTGATATTACGTAATCATTACTACCTAGTTAACAGTCAGAAGTATAGCCTTAAATATTAGTCTAAAAACTAAAGTATTATTTATTAGGTTATTGAGACACGTTTACTTCAGTTGCATCGTATATCTACTCACACTTACAATTATTTCATTGAAAAGAATATGAATTACCCATTCACCTTGATTATGCCTCTGTATACTACTATATACCAGATTATTTTGTATTGAGACTTTCTAGGGAGTTTACTTTTTTACTGCTATTGTGTATTGAATTTCTCCTCATCGTACTGTATAATGCAATGCATTGAGTCAACATATATATACATATATAAATTCTTTTTTTGTCTTTCTTGTCATCCGTGCTTCTTTTTGTTTCATATTGATTTGTACTAATTGCCATTTATTTGTATTTTAATTGTATGGTAAGTAAACGGCACGACTTTAATTACATTCCTATCTTTACATTCATATTCACATTGAGCGGCTTTATTCATTTTAGCCTATTGTTGTGTGTATATGTGTAGAACGAAAGCGAGAGGTAAAGCGAAAGAGACCCTCGCACTCTCCGCTCACTTATTATCTTCATCATCACTATTATTGTTGATATTCTTGTTTATCTTGCTAATTATTAATTAGGCTGAAGAAATAATTCAAGTTCCTGTGGATGCACGATTCTCTGATTATCAAACACGTTTGTTAAGAATAGCTCGACATATGGATCAGTTGAATCAAGCTATTCAATTACGAACTAGACAACCTGGATCAGATGGAGAAGTTGCACCGTTGGCACATAATCTAACACAGGTGATAAAGCCTCAGTTATTTCTTTTTCTTTTTTGCAAAGCGATGCTTTTTCTCAAAATATTCTCCTCCTTCTTGTTATATGGCAGATAGTGAGTGGCATACAAGACATGAACTAAACGCGTAGTTAAAGGCAGAATAATATTTAGATAAGGAAATTGAGAGGGGGTTAACGAAAATGAAAGTCAGGCCATGCATTTTGTAATAGTACAGATACATATTCTCTTTTTTGACCCTCTTTCCGACGCATGGCATTTAGTAGATCCTAATTTATTTTTCTTCAATATTTACATTCTTGTAGGGATTGGATTGATTGATTACGGGATTTCATAGTGAGCTGACATCGATTAGAGAACCAGTACTTACATTCTTCTTTTGGCAAATTTTGTTTTGTTATGATCTGCAGTAACTTTTGTGACTGACTCCAGGTTACAGTGTTTATCCGTCTATTAGTCTGTCTGGCTAATTAATTTAGCATGTCAGCAGTTATTTCTTGGTTTTTCTTCTACTGAAATACTAGAAACTATTAACTAGACTAGTCAGTTTCATGTTATATTTTACCAGTAATCGAATTCAACTAGATCCACTGAAGATGAAAGAGTACTGGATAAATGTTTAACCCTGATCTAGAATACATTACAGATTGATGTGAGTTTAAAAAATATAGGCTATTGAATTCCACTCCGCTGTCTCGAAAGTAGTATGGTCATTACGGAGTCTCATGATTTAGGACTCATTCCCACAAGAGATTGCTGACAAACACCACTAAAGAATCTCAGTCTGAGGGTAAACAACTTTTGTTTCACAATAGTTCTCATGCTGATAATGACTCGTGATAAAATTTATTCATTTAGCGATGAATCAGTATAATATGTGAATCATTTGGCACTTAAGAGTTATCAATAGAATATGTCTAAAACTTATAAAACATTTAACTTGCTATGCGATGATACTTGGTAATGAATTTTGTTGTATTGCATCCTATTCATAATAAAAATAATAATGATAAATGAACTACTGTTGTAGGATTAATTGCATGTGATATTCTAAGAAGTGTAATGGTAGAAGATAAGAGACTTGGTAAAGGAACGTTTATTTGAAATTCGGTATCGCTATATAGCGAAATTATCCACAACTTATCTTCGAATCACTATTTGCATGGATCATCCGTGTTGTGCTGCTTCTGTCCTTCATCTTGTGTCTCTCTGTGTCCCTTTCACGTTTCCCATATATCTCCGCAACGCTGTATCATTTGCCTTCTTTGATATCAAATCCGTCTCCTTGCTATTTGATGTTTTTATGCCGACTAACGTCTGTTTATATGCTACTGATAAATCTTATCAGTAAACTGTCGTAAAATGTGGAGGTTTCTCAACTAGCCTTTATATGACTGAGTTACGTTGTTCACATTGTCTTAGACAGTTTTAATTTGGCAAACCGATTTTGATATAATGAAGTTGAAACTTGAAAAAAAGACTTGAGTCTCTGATTATCAACCCACCTGTACTGACTGTGTTACAAAGAAAATTTTCTGACAATTCCTTAATATCAGCTTAGTCATCCATCGTTTTACCCATTCGTCAGGTGACCACAATACAACATATTCTCTCCTGGATTCCTATTCATTTAGATCCATTCTGGTTATTAAATATTTTTTATAATTGCCCACGGACGAACCGATTTTACGATGATATCTAAATTCCCTTTCCATAATCAATAGTTCATATGTTAAAAATGACTATATGTTACAAATCCGTTTCTTATTCACTCACTAGGTTTGGTATTGAAATAAATATGTTTGATTGTGAAACTCTGTTATAGTTCCGCATGTTTTCTTCATGACACTGTTTATCAATAAGATATGTATTACTGATCCCGGTTTCGAAGTTTACTGTAGTTTAGATTTTCAATTAGTCTGCCAGACTAAAACTAGCTCATCTATTTTTTTTTACCAGAACAGTCAAGTAACATAAAAAAAGAACTAAAACAGCAGAACATTATTAGGATTATTGATTCAAAAAAAACTAATTAGTGCATTTTTAGGCTATGACTGTTCGCCTATGGAATGTTCAATATCTTGTACTTATCCTTTTATATTCACATCATTGTTGATTCGTTTTTAGACGTGATATTTTCAGTTATTAGGAAGGAAAAGAAGGAAAAAGGATAACGGAGGAAACAGTTTGATGGCAGTTATACGATCCAATCATTCGAATAGATTTAGAAAGAAAGGTTAAAAACGACTGCATAAAGAATTTTCTTTTCTTTCCTTAAATCATGTGATCTTCAACTAGATGAGGTTATACACATATCCCATGACAACTTGTATTTGAGATATACACTCCTCCTCCTCCCCACTCCCCACAACATCTTTCCTCTCCTTTTTTCCCTCTCATCATAATGGGTGAAATAAGCGACATATATCATATGGTTACTGAAATATTTATGTGTTTGTATCTCTGGCATACATAACACATATGTATGTTCGTAAGTACCTATTGTTATCTATTGACAGTATTATCTGTGCATGTGAAATCAGAAGTGATTGTTCTTCAGTGTTACGTATAAGTATTACGTAAATAAGAGATATATACTGATCGTTATGGAAAGAACATGTGGTTTCAAAAGATGTACTATATGCCCATCTATCTAAAATCTTAAAGAAATTCATGTTATTAATTTGCTATACAGAATAACGATTTTCAATCATATGAATTAAATACATTTACGAAATTCATGATTTTCAAATTAGTTAGCAATTTACAGTGTGCACAGTTGGAGGAGTGAAATTACGCCACAGTTTCTTTTTAGAAACTGATTTATGCAGTAGCTAGCCATAAATCGAGTGGTTTGAAGTGATTCGGCTCTCTGAGCTGAGTCAAACTGGATACACCGCTGATCAACTCGACCCCAAACGAGCGAAACTGCCGTTCGGAGTTTGCATCACCTCGATCTGGCTAACAAGCACTAGTAATTGATATAAGTGGTATGCAACTACTTATCTCACTCAATCAGTAGTACATAAATACATTTATCATTTCTAGGTTTATACATCTCAAACTGAAAATAAAAGTAAATCTATGATTTAAGTAGTAAATAATACTGATTTGTTTATGTGTTTACAGAATGAAGTGGATTGGTTTACATGTAAAAGTATTGATGAATTGCCACCCCACTAGCAGAGTGGTGTTAGGACAGCCCAATGATTACACATATCATCATAAGTGGTATAAAGAAAGCAAACGAAGTAGGGAGATGAGCAAATACTGCTGAATGGTAGAAACAAGTGGTTAGAAACTACTCACTTCATCATATTAACCCTTTTCAATGTCATAAATTTATTGCGATCACCTATTTCAACCAACTATCGACCAAAGGGCGGGTGTACTGCTCATCAGTCCGTTCCGTCCTCATTTATGGCTAGCTGTGAGACTTGGCCATTGAGAGTGGAAGACATGAAAAGATTAGCTGTCTTTGATCATAGGTGCCTGCGTTCTATCTCCCGTGTGAAGTAGCATAATAAGGTGAGCAATATTGAGGTTAGGCGTCAAGTGCTAGGTAAGCAGGGGAAATCAGTCGACGAAGTTGTGAAGTTACATAGACTGAGATGGTTACGACATGTGTTACCTATGTCTAGTCATCGCCTTCCTCGACAAACAATGTTAGCTGACATAGGGTCAGGCTGGAAAAAAGCTAGCGGAAGTCAAACAAAAGCATGGCCTCACCAGTCTATGAAATCTACAACAGTTAGTTTAAGTTACGTAGGAAGGTTGGGGTCCTCGGGACGGTAAAAACCAATGGTTGGAAACAATTGGTGACATGGCTCAAAATCGTTCTCAATGGCGCAGATTCATCCATTCCCTGTGACTTATGATTTCTAATGAGACTGTTTTGTTCTTCGTTATAACTCTTCCTTTGTCTCACACCTATGTTTACTGTCTCTATTATGCATTTCTCCTACTTTCTTCTCATGCTTTGTGTGCTGCATGGAGTGTGGCGACTTGAACTGCCGCACATATGTGCAAAGTTCTATATCGAAAACAGACGGACAATTCAACCATCTAGAGTAGAACTATATTGGACTAAATGAAATATTGTTAATAATTTATAAAGTTTCCAAGTGTTGATGTAAGCCTGATCAGATTCTTCAATACATTTCAAATTAATGGTTAAGAACTGTAAGGAGTATTTCTCTCTGAACCGGTTTCAGAGTTTCACACTCTATGCTCATATTGGATATCTTGATTTCTTGTATACTTGTTTCTCTTTTTCTTTTCTTTTCCACAACTGTTGACATCATTAATGTTTTTTTGGTTATCTCTGTTGTTGTATTCCATTATTTCACTGTGATATTTTAACTTATAATCAATGTTCATATTCGTCATCTTCACACTGGAATTTGCAAAAGTTTCCCTTCCATCCTGCCAATCATATTTATCTCTTCTTTTTCTATGTTTAAATACCGACTAATGTTTTTCTTCTAACATGTTTGTATTTCTAAATGGTTTTGCCTCACATGAAAAAAGAAAAAGAATGTTTTCTAGTTCACATGAATAAACCGCCATATACTCTGCCGAATGTTTAGATAGCAGAGTGATAAATGAAATTTAAGCCAAGACATTAATATGATTGAAAGATGTAAAAAGACAGTTAAACTCCAGGTCATCCATGAGACTAGTTACTTCTCATCATGTTAACATGATGGCGATGTATATCTAAATAATAGAAATTAGACGAATTAGGCAAATGAATTTTAATTGAATAATGAGATGATAAGTAATATGTCTTGGCATCGGTGGCAAAGCGGTATAATGCTCACCAACCAACCACGAAGGTGGCTCGGGATTCGATCTCCAGTCGACACACTCCTTTACTTCACTAAGGCAGTAATAAGACTGGTAAAGAGGGAAGGTCAGGCATGAGGCTAGCAACCCTATGCTGTAAAGGTAATAAATACCACTACTGGTGATGCTTCCAAGCTCTCGCTTGAGGCCCTATATTCCATTGGGAATGTAAGAGAAGAAAAATCTTTTAAAAACAATATGTTTCCCATGAGATCTTACCATCTTGGAATCAACCTAGCACATCGATTTATAGACTCACTCCCATGAGGATGCACAAACTATCCAATGACTTTTAATAGTTTAAAAAGAAAATACTGTTATAGTCTGCTTCCTATTTTGTAACAACTAATAATTAAGTAGTATCAACTACGTACTACACTTACGAACTGCCAACCGATTAGTTCATATCTATAATTGGGATGTTGGGATAATGTTAAGCTTAATAAATCATAAGCACACTTAAAGTTGAAAAAAATCCGTCTAATGTTTCATAATTACTCATAATGCAGCAACGTCATTAAAATATTTATTGTAATATTTTAAAAATAGTTTGAAATACTGTAATCTCAGTAGTTGTTGTCAATCAGAAAAGAATTTCACTGATTCTATCACAAACTGATGTTATTTAGAGAGTTATTGAAAACATGGAAGCACTTTGGACAACTGTTTTATCTTAGTTCAGGTCACTTCAGCAACCAACACTAATGACTCAGCCCGACATCAAACTGAATAGTTTTGATACTTTAATTTTTAAACACAAAGTTGATCAAATCACTGTTGAAGTACCCTGTATGGATAGGATTCATACTAGTTGAGTTTTCTTTCCTTATTAAATAAATCAATTGCGGTTACCTCTGTATGATAAAACGAAAAAAAATATTTAAAACTAGCTTGATTATGACTACCAGTGGAATATATGGTATACTTCCCATTCCTGTTTATAGCTGTATGTACATTTTCGTCGATTGACGATGCTGTCCGTCTTGGGATTCACATCTGATACACATCAGTATTATATATATATATATATATAAATTAAAATGTGAAGCGGTTAGTAATATTGTATACATTGATGACATTTGTATCCGTCTATTTGCCAACTGAATCTACATCCTGTGTATAGAGTGAAAACCATGTAAATTCATGTTCATACATGAATAGTTTAAAGTGTATGTAAACAGTTTTCACATGATATAGAGCCATGCCTATCCAATTTTATAGCTTTATACTAATCTAAATATTAACAATCACAATTATTAACTAAAATCAGAGTAACACTTAAAGCTAGAACTATATATATATATATATATATATATATATATATATATATATATATATATATATATATATATATATATTTGAAAATAGAGACACCCGAAAAAGCCAACATAAAAAGGTTATTCCATTTAAATATAAACAACTCTCTGTAGTTCTGTCAAATAATTATGAAGGTCAATCCGAAAGTGAACTAAATACTGTATTTGAAATTTTAATCTTTCACTAATATATATATATATATATATATATATATATATATATATATATAAATTTACATAGATAGTTTCCATTGCCTCTTTTCTAACCAGTGCCATCAGTTGATGATGTACTAGAGGCTCAATCGTAGAATGCTTTCCAACTATATACACACACATGGTCTGAGTTCGATCCTCGGCTGACACATTTTGAGACCTCTCCTAGTTGACAGTCAACCCTGAAAAGAGGGATTGTTGGGCGTGAGGCCCCGTAAAAACACCACCGTTTGCTGAAAGTTCAAAATCCTGAACCCCTTTGTTTTACTCGGAACTCATGGAATGAAAAGAGAAATCAGTTGATTATGGTGAAAAATAAATTTGAAAGTAATCTAATTACTTTTTGAGTGCTGCGCGTATAGGTATCAAGGTTGATTTCGTCATGAAGGTATATCAGTTAGAGAATCATTGGAGACGTCGCTTCATTGTGTAACTGTTTCCTCCTAAATTGTAAACTCATAGGCAACAAAGGTACTCATGATCATTACTACTTTTCAGTCAGTCGATTTTATGATTAATTAGCGCTAATATGTACTGTATAGGTGATTTATTCAACCAATAGATTAGAAAGATGGAAATGTGGCTTATCGACTTAACCGCTTGGTTTTCACCCAGTGGGTCACGGGATTGAAGTCGTATTCCATCTACTCCATCCAGTCTAGGTAACTGGGTGGTTTCATCAGCCCTCCTACGGTAAGTGTGGCTCTTCGTCTGGTTAAAGAAAAATCTGTTTCTCGTTTTTCGAGTTCAAATATTAAAAATATTAAATTGATAAAAACGCTTGTTACTACAATATAGATACTTATTTACATTATCTCATTTGGTTGAATTTACTCTTAAAGCTGTAGGGAAATAGTTGATTCCAACCTAATAGTCTCTATAGTTCATTGTTTATTCGAATCAATTATCGGATTATATATATATATATATATATATATATATATATATATATATATATATATATGATATCCTTAGTATTGATTAAAATTTGTGTGTATTTAAAGCTATTTGTAATGGAAACAGTTTTCTTCTTTATTCAACAATCAGTGATATACTTAGGCTGTGTCTTTAACACAATGAACAGTTTTACTGTTGTGAATGTCTTTTTAACTCTTGCCATTAAATTTATGTGATAATCACTGAGCCAAATGGCATGATGCTATATCGAACATTCTTCTCAACATTCAGTGTCATATAACAGTCAGTAGAAAGTTTTATCTTTTTCCGGTTTATTTAAAAAAAAAGTCAACTATTCTTTACTTTAAAGTATATATGTCCAAACTAAATATGAATGTTTTGAAAAATTTTTTGAGTATTGGGTATATGTTTAAAAAAATGCCTGTATTTCCTAAGGAAATGAAAAGCTAATTGATATTGTTTTTGTACTGATGTTTCACTATCTATACTATTAGCAGCTTTAGTAAAGTAATATTAAACCAGAATTTACAATATATCAGTATACATAGAATAACTTAATCACAGTCCTTCAGCAAGAGGCAGTAATTACGTTGTCAGGTTGATGGATTGATAAAGATAACAAACTACGTGTAGATTGTTGGATTTGATAAGTGTGTGAAAGTATAAAAACAGCATGTGTGTTTAGATAGTAAAAACACCTACGACATTTGCATTGATGGTGCCACTTTATGGAATAGGTTGTTCGAACTAGCTCATAGTCTGTCTTAATCTGTCATTTGTACTCAGACAAACTGGACTCCATTTAATGTGAAGTGCTGATATAAGACGTTGACCATCGTGATTTTCGAAACTTTTCTAAGGGACCTTAATATTATCAAAATCAATCGTGTGACCGAATTCTACAACATATAAACCTATGGTCAACGATTTTTCAAGCATTTCTACTTCCACTGGATTTCTTAGTGGTCAAATAGAGGCTCTACTGCATTTGCTTCTTCTGACCTTGATTTCTCGAGAGATTTTTCCGACATACATTTTATAGATACAAACTTTGAATCCTTCAGAATTCAGTTCTTCACATGAACAAGATTGATTTTTAGTGTGTCTGATGTTTTGAAAAAACTCTGATGTTGTATTTTGTTGATCACTTTCCTAATCTCATCTGATGCGTTCTATCTATATGGGATACCAAATGCTGTATCTCATGCTTCCGGAGTGTGTTTCAGGCCATGTTTATTTTTGTTGTTCATTTTATGAGTGGGATTCTTTGCATATTTATTTTTCTTGAGAATTTCTGTAATATTTGATACTCCTTCTTTCTACTTTTCACTTACTATCAAAGAGTATGCCAGGAAAACTTCAGACAACCGCTAACTTTGTACTGTTAGAGTTGGCGGATTCGAAGTCCAAATATTTGTTGGAGTGTGTTTTCTTCCTGAATACAGATATATTAAAATACTCATTTTCTTACCGTTTAACTATGCTATCAACAAAAACCAACTCACCGATATCTGACTCTATTTCTGAAGTAAACTTAATGCCTAGGTGATTGGTTGTTCAATTTCTCCAAGAAGGAATAGTGCAAGTCTCATTTTAATACTATGAAAGTGTCATCAATATATCTTAGCCATATTTTTGGTCTGAGTAGGTTCGAGATGTTATCTTCAGATTTATTCATGAAGGGACTCACAACTATTGGTGAAGCTGGTGAATCCATGGTTACACCATTTGTCTATCGATATAAACTTCTCTTAAATGTAAAGTAATTAGTTTCCTGACAGAATTTTAAAACCTCAATTGTCGCACTGCCGTTCAGTGGTTATCTTTCTGATGGAATTGTGTCTGACTGAAGCAAATTGAAAATGCTTGAATGAGTCAGTATCATAGCTTACTGTAATGTCTTCTTCATTAATCTTCTAGCTTTTATTATTTTTCCGATTATTATCAGATAGAAACCAAAATTTTCTAAAATCTGATTAATGAAGTGAAATATTTATAAGTTTTATCATTATTTCTATTCGGCACTATTATTATTATTATTATTACCACTTTAGGAATATCAAGAAATGTGTCAAACATGTAAAGGTGCAGCAGCTACTTTACCTGATGTAAATCAAGCAGACCAATTACGTTCAGCTGTTCGTGGTGTAGGAACAGCATGTATTAGTCTAGTACAAACTACAACTGCAAGTCGTTCGTATTTTACTGATTCACATGGATCTGGAGCAGGCCAACAGTTAATGTTAAGTCGTAATAAAAGTATAGCTGAATTGGATAAACGAGCTGAAGTCTTAGATACAAAAGTAAGTAATATAAAGTAGGATTGATTTAAAGGATTTTTGGATGTAAGGCTACTTTTATCACTGAAATATGAACTCTTTTTTACTAAGAGAAACATATATGTTTATTAAGTAGTCTAGATCGAAAAAATTGGCAGATGAATTAACATGTGACCTATTTCGAATTACATCCGTCCAAGTTACCATACACTTTGAAATAGCAAGTATGTGAAAAAAGGGAAGATAAATAGAGTAGTATCACATTTGATGTACATGAGTTTAAGAGACAAGACAGTAATCATCAAATGAAGATTGGTGATGAGCATACTCCATATTTAAGAGATGGTAGATTTTGAATACATATACATCATTGCGAACTATTTTCAGTCATCGAATGAAGATTCTTCAACGACTGATTCTTATCAGCCTGAAAATCTTAATTAACAGATGGACTATACTTACATAAATCATTCAAATCAATAGTCAGAGAAATATGTTGACTAACTATCAATAATTTATTACCGTGTAATTCTATGATGAGAAGTTGCAAAGTAAAATTCTGAAGGATTAGAATAATTTTTTTTATTTAGTGAGAAATCTGTCACCTTATTTCTACTCATCAAAACAGGCATTAAACAGGTGTAATGATATTAGATGGTTGGAGGCGATCGGCAGGAAGCCTTGGGCCTAGGTTTCGTGCTAGTTGGCACTCATCAGGTTTAGTAAAAACAATTCATTACGAACGTCAAGCGTTTGAGAAATAGAAGAAATTATTGTTGTTTAAAATAAAAGAATAAGAAGCCTATAGAAGTATCAGCTGTTTTGAACTTCAAAAATTTACAAAGTTTTCAAATTGGTTTTAAGCATATATGGATATCAGCTACAGAATTAACTAAGAATCGTTTAATCCTGAGTATTTATTTATTATTATTATTATATCCTTTAAATCCTAGAAGAACATAAGGCTTCAGCTGCGCACCTCCACTGTCTTCTGTTTTCTGCCAACTTTTTCACTCCGCTCCAGGTCTGTCCACATGCTTTCATCTCCTCCTCACATGACCTCCTCCAAGTCACCCTTGCACTGACGACCAACTCACCGCTTCCCTTTCGGCCGGGTTCCACTCGAGCGATGGCTTGTCTAGTGATGTCACTTGATGGCTTGTTTCCTCAGAGTATGGCCAGCCAATCCATCTCCATTTCTTCCTGCCTATTTGTTTCACAATCGGTTCCTGCTGTGTTGGTTCGCTCATTTCCAGAGATCCATCCCTGATGCTGATCTTTTCTGGCCGGCCATCTGATCTTGAGTGGTATTGAGCGAAGACAACTGTTAATGAAGGTCTGAAGTTTGTTTGAGATGCTCTTTATGACGCGCTGGCCAAGTCTCTGATCTGTATAGCAAGTAGCACTGACTGACTTCACATTGGAGTTGAAAATCCGGATCTTATACTCGTTTTGATGCTGAGTGCTGTTGACCTCCACACAGACTTGAGAGTAATGAAAGCTTGTCTTGCTTTTCCGAATCTGGCTTTGATATCCTCGTCAGTTCCGCCTGTAGTTGAGACGATGCTTCCCAGGTAGGTGAAGGAGGTTGTTTCTTCCTGTTTCCTCCTATTTGTGCTGATTGTTGTCTGTTGTTGTTGGTGGTGGTGTTGGCCAGGAATTTTCATCACCTCTGTTTTATTTATGTTCACTCGAAGTCCTATCTTTGATGCTTCTTCTGCCAGCTTGTTACTTTTCACTTGCATATCCTCCAATTTGTGGGAAATCAGACATATATCATCGGCGAAGTCCAGATCATCCAAGTCCTTTTTTGTGTGAGTCCATTTTATGCCTGTTTCCTCATTTCCCCTTGTTTGTCGCATTATCCAGTCTACTGCAATCAGGAAGATCATTGGTGATAGTAAGCAGCCTTGCCTCACTCCCGTCCTCACTTCGAAGGCTTCCGTAAGTTTCCCGTTGTGGATTACTTGGCATGCAGTGCAGCATTGTCGTATAACTGTTGGATGAGATGTATAATTGTCGATGGGACCCCGTAGTATCGAATTAGTTGCCAAATGACCTCTCGATCGACGCTGTCCGCTGAAGGCCTTTTCAAAGTCGATGAAGCTGAGATAGAGAGGTGACTGCCATTCCTGAGTATAGAAATATAGAAATGTATTCTTCTCGATAACTAACGATCATTGGCTTAATGGACTAGGTAGTGGTTACAAGCTATCGAAGAGTCCGATAAAACTTTAACGAATATATGTGATAGTAGTAGTGTTGTTTGGTTTTTTTCTTAATTCTGTCTTAGTTTCTTCTGTATTATATATTTTTTTCTATATAGCTACGTAATCTAATCCATCTATTAGAAACTCATGGTCCAGGTACACAAGCTTGTCTTCAATCAGCTAGTACAGTGAGCGGAATTATTTCCGATTTGGATACAACTATTCTGTTTGCTAGTTCTGGTACATTACATCCACCTATTCGTGATGATGTGGACGCTTTATGGGCTGATGACGAATACGGTCATTCAGGATTAGCTGATAGAAATCATGCGCATTATTTGGCTTTGTCAAATATGACAGATGGAACCGGTGTGCCAAGTCGTAGTGGAAGTAGACCAGAAATGCATAATGCAGAGAATTTTACTCCTTTAAGGTAGATTGGTTTTACTCTTATTAGTATTTTAATACCATATGCATATAGAAAAGTGAGTTTTATATGTAACAGTAATTCATAATAATTTAAGAAATAAAGGCTAATAAGATACATTTCAACTACTTTACGGTTCGTTTTGAGTAGCAAGGTTTCGTGTATTTCCATTGAAGTCATGCCTCTTAAAAATATATGTTAAATTAAATTTTAAATTGAAAGGAAAAGGGAAAAAATCGTTCACCACTGGAATATATTTGCAAATTTAGCCTCCTGTTCTTTTCGTCTACTGTAACTTCTTTTCTCGAGTATCAATCATTCCTTATTTTTCAACTCTAACCTAATGGATTGGTGTCATCTTATTACTTATACTTCCTCTGCATCATGCATTTATGAAATAATATTATAAGGAAGATGCAGTTGAGAATGCCTGCTTGTAAAATGCATTCTGACTGCTACTGTCAACATGGATTTACAGAATTAGTGATTGTAACTGCGTGCTTCTCATGTATCCCCTTTTTCGTATATATCTTTTCGAAACTACTCATCATATGTCTGCAAAATGTATAAAAGAAGACACTTGTAGTTATACGTGTTCAGCCTCCTCGTTCTGTTCACATTCAGAAGTTGTATTTCATAAGTATGAAATGGTGTAAAATGTGTACTATAGTGTATTATATCGTCAGCTTAGCTTTCGGTAGATATGACGGTGGCAACTTTTATAGTGTTGATCATGTACTAACTACTTTCTTATCTTTATTGAAAATTTTAAGAAGATTAGCTAGCAAATGAAGTTCAACATCGTTTAATTTAGGGGTAGGTTTTGGTACAGGCCAACATCAACGTGAGAGTCAGTGAAAACCAGAAAGTACCTGACAATTGTATCGTCTTAGCTTGACTGTTAAGCAATTTGCATTCATGACACCAGCAGGAGTTACAATTTAACCACAGGGTTGAAATTTAACGATCCATGAATACTAACGCCTGCCATTTCTCTGTACAATACCACAACCATCCACTGCAATCGTCGCTAATCTCTCACTATACGTGACTTGATAGATCCCACCATTCGTAACTTCTCGTTAGAACGCCATCCTGTAATCTGTGGATTAACTTTTAAATTCATTTAGTTAATTAAACAGTTGATACTATGAAATATTTTTGGCAATGTAGAAAGATTATTAGTGAATTAATTAATCTTAGACAGATAAGTAATATGGATTATTAGGATTGTATTCACACTTATTTTTTGTCTTTTCAAATAAATATGAGGCAGTTTTTTAGTCGATGTATCCATCAGTTGATTATGCAAGTGTTGATTTGTGTAATAATCCTTTTGAATTTTCATAATTAACATCTGTGAACAACAAATATCTAGTATTCTATTCTTATTGTATAAGATTCTTAAATATTTTCCATCTAACTATTAAGTAGAATGTTGAGTAAATTACAAGATGCTTAACATATTGTTAGATTAACATTACGAGAACAATCACACTATATCTCCGTGTTTCTATTTATGTGTGTGTGTGTGTCCATAGTCTACATCCTTGAAGTCTACCATGTTCATGTATTATTTAATTATCTCCTGATAGTTTGTTGTATTTATTTTAATAATTTCGTAATTTTATAATTTCGTAGGCTAATGTAGATTGATTTTCAAATGTTGGTTTTGCAGGGATTGTGTTTGATCGGTTAGAGGGTTCTGTCCTCACCTAGCCTTATAACCGGAAGGTCCTTGGTTTGAACCGTCTCGGTGGATGTGTACTGCCTAAGAGTCCCAAACTAGGACGAAACAGCTATCCAGTACTCCCAGCTTTTCCAACAGTTCTCTAACTGGTGTCAGCTCATGATAAAACCCTCCATCTAATGTAGATTGAACTGAGCTAACATAAAAGTTTACAAAAAAGTACATCAGTTCAAGTTACCACACTGTGGAAAAAGTACAGATAAAATAGATGAAAATATACAAGAAAAAACAAACAGAGAGACTTTGTGGAGATTTTCAGAATCTGGAAGATCACAAAGAATGAATACACCCTCACTACTGATAAATTTTGAAAAATGTCACCAATAGTCCGAAACCGTTGTTTCTTACCATCCGGAAAACCACAGCCAGATAGTCTATACCTGCCTATATTGGTCAAACCGAAAGGTGCAGAAATTGATAAAATTCACAAAAGGAACATGTTGGTAGTCATAATAGTCAATCATCTACTTAAAAGTAGAATCCAATAAGTGTGAAAGTCCTTAAGACTGCAGTTGAATGAGAAATTCATCAAACTTTTTGAACACAAAGACTTCTGTCTTGAACTGATGAATTATTAGTGCCTACAGAATTTGTGAATGTTGGAATCCAACGTCTTTTCTACCATCTGACCTGACCTGACATAGAGAGTTTTAAAGGAGAGGACTTTCTGGGATGTGTTTGACCTAAATTTACTAGGTGCTCTATAATTATCCTTACACTATTATACAAATTTATTTCATGTATCTTTAATTTGTTTCATTTGTTGCTTAGTGCTCTCAGTTGGTTATAGGAATGCATTCAGACATGGAATCAAAACAGTAGAGTAGGTTAGACTGTAATGTTGATGAATCACAATATCTCAATGAGAATCAGCATCTCGAGTATGCTGATTTTCTAGTTCTCCGATTACTTCATGAGGACAAAGCACTAAGTACATCAGCTGAACTGGTGTTGAAAGCTTTGTTAAAAAAATTCAGAACTTAAAGAGAAAGAGAACCACCAAAAGCCTTAATAATCGTCTATACAATACGACAGTCGCATTATAGTCCTTTCATTACTACACAATATTTGTATTTTTGTTTTGTTTTGTTTTAGAGAAAGCATAGCTCGTACAGCTCGTGCTCTTGTAGATGATACTCAATCGTTAGTCAGTGGAACTGGTGAAGATCAAACACGACTGGCTAGTAAAGCGCATATTGCAGTTGAACGGATTACACAACTAGCTGATGTTGTCAAACGTGGTGCAGCAGTGATTGGTCCAGGTCAACCAGATACACAGGTATGTACGAATGAGATTTTGTTTTTCTAAAAATTTCCGGTATTCTTTAAGTTAGGCCTTTCGGTATGCTTTATTGTCTATGCCTAAATAATAATAATAATAAAAAGTGATCTTAAATTCCCTTCTTTAAGATTATCCTAATAACTAAACCAATCATAGTTATTGAGATATTTCCATCTTGTGAAAACTGCAACAAGTAAAATGTTATCTAACACAAATAACAGAAAGAAATAATCTCTAAGATGTCCCTGTTCTGGATAAATATGAGGTCATTATCCTGGGTGATTATTAAAGCTACTCATTGTATTTCTGGAGTAATCTTTACAGTCAGTCAGTCGAAATGTTTTGGTCTACACAGGTCTGATAAACACTTTCAATATAAATGACTAATAATAATAATAATAATGGTAAAGCTTTATTTTAGACAGTATGCGAATATACGGTACAAAAATTTTCAGCGTATTCAGTTCCAAAGTTTATATTTCATTCAAATAGCCAAATGGCGATTTTGTTTTAATTTAGTATACATTGCATAGTTATCAACTGTGATAAGTGGATAAAACAAGTTAAAAGCAGTATATGAATACATGAAAGAAGAGGTCAGCGAAAAGATATCCTTCTCAAGTTGTACAATTGCATATATATATATATAGTACATCCCCATAGCGACAAAAGAAAGGTCTGCAAAGATGTATCATCAAAATCGTAGGTTTTTGATAGCAGTTGTGTAATACAGAAAACATTAATCAGGTAGAAAGTAACATTTAATAAAATAAGTAAATTGAGTGATGTAACGCCATTGTCAGGATTGAACAGACCCCTACTAGAATTGAAAGATGGTCATCTTAAGAACAATGTCATATGAGGAGTAGAAATTTAACAGTGAGAAAGGAGGAAAATAATAAAATTGAAAAAAATAATCAAATATTAGGATTGTCAGAAATTAGGTATCATATTTTAAGACAAATTCGGTTCATTGTAGGTTCAGTAACTTAACAAACTCCCTTTGTATGCAGAGTTCAGGATTTGTCTCAACACCTGACGCGTAATTTTCTTAGTCCTAGCTTCTATTTAATCTTAATTTCTCAATTTTCCCCTCCCCACTTCTACATGTCTACTCCTCATTAATACTGATTTTAACCTGACTCTCTTTCAATTCTAGTTAAGCTTCACTCAATCCTGTCACTTGTGTTACTTCACTCAATCTACTAATCTAATAACTATTCTAGTATCTACCAGATTAATGTCCTCTGTGTTATGTAATGAATGATACACCTTTGGTAACATTTCCAGTGGGAAGTCGTGACCAGTAGGGTGCAACAGGTTGGGTGTGAGGACAAATACTCGCCGAAGACATTGGCTAGCGGTTGCGCTGTATCGTGAATTGACAGAAGTTAGAATTCATGGGCCATTGGATCGGGTCCCAGTGGCTTAATGGTCTACTAACTCGCCTTGTAACCAGAAAGCCCTGGGTTCGAACCTCCTCCCGAGGTGGGGTGCGTACCGATGAAGAGTCCCAAACTAGGACGTAACAGCTGTCCACTACCCCCTGCAGATTTTCTAATGGTTCTCTAACCGATTTCAGCTCATGATGAAATCCTGTAACCAATCAACCAAATCCCTACAAACCAATACTTGAATATATATTAAAAACTAACTATTCATCATTCCTTAAATATTATTATTATGATGACTATCACATTGGAAACCTCTTTAATTATTACATAGTGCATTATGTTCATTGAATGTTCCATGCTTTTTTTCACTTTTAATACTAGAAACATTTAACTAATGCTGACAAGTCATTCAATTCACGTTTGTCAGCTAAACTCTTTTTATGTTGCCTAATACTTGCTATATTATAAATATATGTGTATATGTATACGATCTGAACACAAATCGATAATTAGAACAAATAAATAAGTAATCTATGATTTAGTCTCTTTGTCATATATTAGTTACAATAAATAAAATTGAATAAAGTGATATTTTAAAATTGAATTACAGCTTTGTTATTAAGTATAATCTATTCATGGTTAATTACTAACTAACCCAATTTATTTCACCTTCTGCTGTGTTAATGCTTATTCTTATAACTACTCTTTCTCCACTGCACACTGCCTTTCAAATATCCTTAGCCCATATTTCATAAACTTTTGCTAATCGATTCCTGGTTATGATTATGAATTTCAGCTTTCTAGTTATAATAGTCAATAAATAAATAAAGCAGAACAGAGATGATCATCATTCACGCTACTCGTGTCTTATTTGCCCATTGTTTTTTAATAATATAATAATATAACACAACCATCATCGCAATACACTTACACTTTTAAGACTATTTTATTTGCACTATATAAATGTGTTAAAGAGATCACATTGTAGTAGATGTCACCGAAATGCAACTGTGCTTTCCTTAAACCTTGTTATTATTACTACTACTATTATTATTATTATTATTATGTTACACTGAAATGCATTTACTGCTTTCGCACGCTTCTTTTTTTCTGATTAATAAAGTGATTAACTTATCAGTCTATAATCTGTTGTAAGTATATCTTACCCCCCCCCCCATAAATTTTATTGATTTATTTGTGTCATGTGTAATGGTTGAATTTCGAAATGAAAATCTGGATCACAACAACAGGATTCGAACCAGTAGCCTGAGAATTATAATATTTCTATGGTCTTAGAGTTGAGTTACGAGTAGAACACCCAGCATTGAAATGATTATCTGACTAACAAACATGTCAATCTGGTAACTCAATCGTTAGACATCTGGACAACTAATTAGAAAGCACCTGGGGCTTAGAATCCTGTTACAACCGAGATTTCCATTTCGCCTTCAGTCATCACCAATAGTAACCTGTCAACCTAAGGCTTATCCCAGATACTTTCACCATCAATTTATTTACTTTTTCTAAACTGAAGTTATATATATATATATATATATATATATATATATATATATATATATGGCTTCCGTAAACGCATCATCTCTGATTATTGTCTAACTTTTGTTAATTTAAGTGTTTTCATATTTACATCATGACATGACAGCTTAAATTTAATATAATTCAGTTACATGTAATAGTTGCGTGATCAAGATGAGTTATACTTTGTTCAACATGACTGTTAATTTTTAAGTGATTATATGAATTATTATCAATCCAGTATTAAAATTCACATCATTTCAAGATTTACAATATATACGTGTTTGATTTGTGTGTGTTTGTGTAATTGAACGGTGGCGAGAAAACACACAGGGTTAACACTTAGTTAACATGCTTACATCGTAACTTTACAATTCGCGAGGTTAGATTTCTTACTGGGTATCAAGGAGATAATATTGAAAATAAGATTAGACAAGTGACTGTGGTTAACCTTCAATTCGCATAGTAGTTCTTTAACTGTTGCTGATTCGTGATAATAATAAAAAAAGATCTACTTTGAAAAACGAGAAACAAAAGCTCATTTTGAATTGAATTGATCGTGATACATCCAGTGAGGTAAAATGACAATCAGATAAACCTCCTTCATTTTTCAGACTTAAAATCTCAAAATAATTTAATTTAAAAAAAAACTTGATCTCTTTATATAGAATGAATAGAAAAGAAGTAATTATTCTGCTTTTGTTGTGTCAGACGTGTTAGGCGTCATTTGCCTAAGGCGCAGCAACAGATACGTTTCTTTCTCTTTTTTTGTCGAAATTAGAAAGTACACAAAATTCCGACAAAATAGGCTCGTAAGAATCATATTATGGTATATATAAGGTGAACAAACCACAGTGGTATTTTTATGACTTTTTCCCAGTTGTATACAATGAATGCATTCCCTATTTTCATTTGAGTTCAGAATTTATGCACCGTGAACAGTACCATAAAGTATTTCTATGAAATTCAATTTTTATAAAATGAGTATATGGAAGGATTCAGCGGTGGTTGTTGTAAAATTCCCTGAGGAATATTACATATTTCTTAGACTGTGTAAAATTGACGTGTGACGAAGAATATTTCCAAGTGTTATTCACTATTTCTTTCTTTTTGAATTAAGAACAAACCTTTATTTATTTGACTGGATATTTCCAAACACTTTATCTGCTGAAAAAATGCACCATATTGATGAATACGTTATTTTAGATTTTATGTTATTAAAATTAATGTATAACTTCTTGTTAATTGATTAGCTTTCATCAGCTTTCCACAGTGTATATTATCGATTTATGCATTGATTTACCTACTTATTTACTTATTTACTACTTATCTCTTATTCATTGACGGAAAACAGTACTAATTTCAACGATTATGCATAATGATATTATTTCTTCTCTAGTCATTTTGAAATGATAAGTTCAATTGCTATAAATTTGTATCACGAAATCAAGATGCCCTAGCACAAACCTATAAGTGATACCTAATCAGCTTTGCTAAACTCGATGTGCTCTATTACCTATGTGATCAATTATTATTATCATATCCCTTAATTCCTAGAGGAACATAAGGCTTCAGCTGCGCACCTCCACTGCCTTCTGTTTTCTGCCAACTTTTTCACTCCGCTCCAAGTCTGCCAAGATGCTTTCATCTCTTCCTCACATGACCTCCTCCAAGTCACCCTTGCACTGACGACCAACTCGCTGCTTCCCTTTCGGCCGGGTTCCACTCGAGCGATGGCTTGTCTAGTGATGTCACTTGATGGCTTGTTTCCTCAGAGTATGGCCAGCCAATCCATCTCCATTTCTTCCTGCCTATTTGTTTCACAATCGGTTCCTGCTGTGTTGGTTCGCTCATTTCCAGAGATCCATCCCTGATGCTGATCTTTTCTGGCCGGCCATCTGATCTTGAGTGGTATTGAGCGAAGACAACTGTTAATGAAGGTCTGAAGTTTGTTTGAGATGCTCTTTATGACGCGCTGGCCAAGTCTCTGATCTGTATAGCAAGTAGCACTGACTGACTTCACATTGGAGTTGAAAATCCGGATCTTATACTCGTTTTGATGCTGAG